AACTGACTCAGACCCAATCAACCGACTCAAGTCGATTCCGATCGACTCAGACAGACTCACAGACTGTCTGAGTCGTTCTGAGCCTGTCTGAGTCGATCGGAATCGATTTGAGTCGGTCTGAGCCGATCGGAATCGGTCGAGTCTGCCTGAGTCGGTTTGAGTCTGTTTGAGTCTGCCTGAGTCTGTCTGAGTCGTTCTGAGTCTGTCTGAGTCGATCGGAATCGATTTGAGTCGGTCTGAGCCGATCGGAATCGGTCGAGTCTGCCTGAGTCGGTTTGAGTCTGTTTGAGTCTGCCTGAGTCTGCCTGAGTCGTTCTGAGTCTGTCTGACAGGTTACCAGGATGGTTCTAGGCGTATTTCGCTTTGGTCGAGTTGGGCTGCCAAACTTGGCGGTTTCGCAAAAGCGTAGCCCACAATTAGCCGCACCCCGGGCCACTGCAGTTGGCAGTCGGACCGAGCCAGCGACCTTGGCAGCCCCGAACGGAGAAGGGGGAGGGGAGGGAGAGGGACTGCACGCAGCGGTGATTTGGTGGGTGCGCTTGCACTGCGGTGTTGTGAGCACGCTACAACAGCAGCGCTGGAGAGCACAGACAGAGGAGAGCTTTGAAAATATGCAAAGCGCTGCGTTCGAGGACGAGGCGGTACGGAGAACAAACCATGCTTTTGGATCAATCAGGAACGCTCGTCATTAACGGAAAACGGTGAAAAATGTCCTCGCTGCTAAAAGTTTATAAGGGGTTAGGGATCCCAAACATAAATAATAAAAATGCAGCATGGAAGCGAGCAACGAAGCGGCGAAAGTGAATTGAATGCGTACCCGCGGGGAGGTTGGAATCCGTACGCATGGTCACCGGCGTATCCGGGGGGGGGGGGGGGGGGGCGGCAGGGGCTAAAGATCCCCCCATTCGAAACTCGACAGGGGCGGCCATATAAATTAGCCCCCCCCCAATGCACCGGGATTGGTCAGTAAAATTATTGATTGCTGGTAAGTTCCAGCCTTCGATAGTGAAGTTCCTTTAGAAATTCCTTTCCGCTGTTAAGTTGGTAGCGATTTGACAGCTATTCAATAACTTACCTATCAATTGAAGTGTGAAGTTTACCCGCGCCCGGCTGGGGGTCCTGGATTTCCACGCCCTGCTGGGGACCCCCCTTCTAACTCGGCTCCTGGGCCACGTAGCGATACGCGGAAGGCGGCGTTCGAAAGAGCGCCAAAAATAATGACGAAATCACTTCGGTCACTTTTTTGGTCAGGTCAAAGTTCAGGTCACCAGAGGTCATTGAAGGCAAAATTTCGCCGATTTTCAGGTCGAATGTCGACAATTTCCAGGAAGCCAACGCATAACTCGGGAACCAATAAAGCTACAGCGCCGCGGAAAAGCGCATTCGATAGCCCTATTAACGCCCTTTCTGAGTAATTATCTCAGTTTTGACCTAACGTCAACGGTTTTGCCTGCAGGGGGAAAAACTGCAAAAAATAGTCCATTGTTTCCGGAAACAGTTTTTCTGTAATAACTTTTGACCAAAGCCTTGTACGAGCTTACTTTTACCGGCATCGTGTTCCTCTCGTCAAGAGGCATCGAATGAATTATGACTTGACCGTGAAAGGTCAACTTGAAAATTTGACCTCGGGTCTAGGTCATGACCTCACCGGAAAGGGTCATGTTGCATATCAGTCGATCCGTACCGTCGAGCTTACACATCTAAGGCGTTTTCATCGCTCTAGCATGCCTCTATCAAAGGTTATTTGCGAAAAACTGTTAGATACCATTCATGACCTGAGATGACCTCAGGAGCATTAATAGGGGTCACGGACACCATTTTTCAGGTTCAGTGTGTCTAAACCACTTGTAATTCAGTGTTTGGGAGTGTTTATAATGTCTTTCGTCCAAAAGAGGCGCATTTCAATTTTCTCCCATTGACTTATAATGGGGAGGTCGCAAAATTAACCTGACCTTAGGTCATCGATATCAAAATTCTGAGATATACATTTGTACATGCTATTGCTCTTCGCAAGCGCTGAAAGTTTCAAAGCGATCGGTCTCTCGGTGTAGCTATGGCAGACATTGAAACTTTTTATGAGGTGAGGTCACTTCAAGTGACCTGGTGACTTGACCTTCAATGACCTTGGTCTGAAATTTTCACATGTGTAGAATTGATGTATGCCCGCCGTTTGCTGGGGGGGGGGGGGGGGGCGTTAAACGCCCCCAGCCGATAACTCGAGAACCAATAGGCGCAGCGAAACGCACGAGGCGGCAAACGAAAGAACGCGACGAGACGCTTAAGATGAGTAGGTACTTTAAAGTTGAAGTTTGAGGTCACAGGTCGGGTCAAGGTCAGGTCAAACACCTGAAATCGGGCTTTCAGTAGCATGGACTTCAGAACCTCGCAATGGGCGCCTCTTGTTAAAAACTCTGTGAAAACAGTGCACAATCCTTCATATAAGGCCTACAAGAGTGTCAGATCCATTTGGGGTGGGGGTCAGTCAAGCATAGGTCAGGGTCAAGGTCAGGTCAACCAGGTAGGCACATATCCCTGAAAATCAAACCTGATATTCACAGCCTGTGACACTTGTTTTATGGGTAATTTGGGGCGTAGAACACGATGGTGACATTCATTTTATCATAGGTGCACGTGTTTGGTTCAAAAAGTCAAATTTAAGAAATGCATGTACCTATCATGGTTGTTACGGAGCGAGCGAAGCGAGCGGAGTCTCATACTGAATTAAGGGAAAATCCTGAGTATGAGCGGCCGGCCGGCCGGCCGGCCGGCCGGCCGGCCGTGGGGACGCTCTTCAAAAGCTAATATCTTAGGAACGGGACATCCGATTGACAAGCGGTCTTCTTTACTGAATGCCACTTGGACGTAAAAGTTCTGTGGTGTGGTGGCCACCATGCGTTCTTGCCAACCACCGCACGTGGCGCGTGGTAAAGTTGGACATTTTTTAAGAACCCCCAAAATTGCAACCTCAATAACAGCACAACGGTTGGGCCGATTGAATTGAAACTCGGTACACAGTTAGGTCTCCATCAGATAATTCATCTGCATGTGTTAAGGTTGGGGTGCTACAGCACGTGCGCACGTGCAGGGGGCGCTCCCAGATCTCGAGAACGGCTGGGCCGATTGCGCTCAAATTTGGTACACGGTTGGGGACCAGTTAGCAGGGTGCCGTGCAAAAGTCAGTTTGGACCCCGCTTGCACGTGCGCACGTGCAGTGTGCCGCTTCCAGATCTCGAGAACGGCTAGGCCGATTGCGCTGAAATTTGGCACATCGCTAAAGACCGGTTAGTAGGGTGCAGTGCACAAGTTAGTTGGAGGTACCCCTCGCAATTTCGCACGTGCAAGGCCCATCCTCTCGCTCGCTCCGTTGGTCGCCCAAAAGGCGTTTTACTGGTAAAGTAGTCATGCGAAATTGCCAAGATTCAGTTCAAGATTTTGGAAAATGGGGACTGATAATCAAAAATCGAAGACAGCCTTTTGATTGTATCATTGTTCATGGTATTGGTAATCTAATGGCATTTACGGAATGTCTGTATATGGGTGTCCGTCAAAATTCGTGGAGATATGCTGTCCCACGATTTCAATAATGCCTCACGTCAATAAATGAGCTTATTTCAGCGTAACACGGGTCCGTACGCGAGATTTGGACATTGATTGAAGAAAAAAGTCATTGAAAAGGCAACAGTAAAGTGGCAAAAAAAATGGACATCTTTCCAAAACCGTGCTTTTGTGTGCCTATGTATTTTAGCTTGTCCCACAACCTGCAAAAAAAATCTACAGAGCTGCTGTGTAGTTATTTTTAGAGATAATTGAGTGCGAGGGAGCGTTGTGAATAGCAAAAACATTGAAATTTCCCTTCATGGTTCTTATTTTTTGGTTATACAATTTAGCAAAACTGCACAACGCAAAACGTCTGTCCCACGGTTTTTGGCAAACCCTTTTTCTGGGTCACGTTTGTTTCTGGGTCACGGTACTTAGCTCCTCATTCAAAGCATTACGGACCGGGTAAGCAGGGTCTGCACTCTGCAGACTTGCATATGGTCCTATCCCGCGAAGGCGCAGAGAGCGGGGGCGGAAACTGAAAACTGTCAGTTGGGCTGGGCGAACCCAGGGGAAATCATCTCCTGCGTGCCATAAGATTTCTTTACTGGGTCATACGCCCTTGTGGCTTGTGGCTGATAAGTGTCGAAAAGAATCACAGTGTCGTGTTGCTGCGTGCTCAGGTAATCCAGATAAGATGTACTTGGAGATTAGTATTCGATAACAAACTTGCTGTATTCGGAAAACTGTAAAAACCATTCCCCTGGGTCACGCATTTTTTTCTTCTGGGTCACGAATTTTAGCGTGACGCAGGAAAAAAATCGTGACCCAGGAGAGAAATTCTGCCCACCTACATCATCAAGACATGCAAGTCTTTCCGCCTACGTGTGGAGAAGGTCATTGCCGATAAGGGGGTTATATCGCGCATGAGGTAAGTGAACGTATCTGGTTTGATAATGCGTGACCCAGAAGAAATTTTTTATTTTTTTCTGGGTCACGGACCATTTTACGCGCATGCGCAATGGCATTTTTGAGTAATTTCAACTGTGAACAGCCTAGGGTGCATGGTTTATGAAAAGGTAATGATTTCTAGGAAATCAGTTGTGGGACAAATATCGACCCAAATCTCCACGAATTTTGACGGGTACCCATATCTATTCTGTGATTTTTTTATGATTTTTTGAACATATGCCATTTTTGGTCGAAAACTCAGAAATCATGCTGTCACTAAAACCTTGATCTCAAAAAATTTCTGACTGATTTTTTTGAAACTTTGTCACAATAAACTTCAATCAATTCCCTACAGGTACCCATGTCCCATGGTCATAGATAGGTACTGGGTACCCAAAAAGTTGCCAACTTACTAGGCACCCAAAATTTGGTACGCCATTTTCATGCTTTAGTGCAGCGAAAAGTGGGGGCACTTAACACCCCAGCAACTCGCGGGTTGAAAGGGTGCTTACGGCATCCACGGGCAATTCCAGCTTTTCACCGCCCCCGCCCCCCCGTCGGTGAAATTTGGGTAAATATTCGTTTTTACTCTTCCTGAACTAAGCGACATCACTTTCATGCCAATTCATTACCTTTCTTGAAGGTGGGAGGGTCCCTTTAATTTATAGTCACCGTGCCTTTAATGATCAAAACCGGATGCTTCCACTGCACTTAATTAGAAATAAATATGTCCACTCACCTCTGTCGATTGAGTACAGTAATAAGAAGTTGTTTTTTTAATAAATTTTGTTCTTATCCATCAATAAAAATTGATAATTTACTCCGATCATTCCCCATATCTCTCCCTTTCCCAAAATGCGGCGAGCTCGACAATTTCATTGACAAATCATACTGTGCCTGTTCAACTTCCTGCTGCCGCGCTGTTGGATGCTGCTTAAAGGGACACTCCCACCTTTACATTAGTTTTGAGTTGAGATAGCCAAATTGGTGGCCATGGCCTGCAAATACCGGTTTGGGCACTCACAACATCGAAAAATGCTTTACTTCGAAGATATGGAATTTCAAACTTGCAGTTTTCGGATTCTAAGGGGCTAATGCATTGGAATGCCCCCTTAGAATTTGTGACGTCAGCGGAGATCTAACGATTTTTAAATCTTAGACTAAAACCATCGTTAACACGTGGTGGTATGCGCTGCTTTGCGCGCAACGTCTGCCGCACTTTAAGGCTGCCAAATTATTGCTTCCAAATAAAGTCGCTAGTAACAGGGGAGATCCCAAAAAGTAAACAAAAGTAAAAGCCTAATATCTTGAAAACCAATAACCAGTGAATATTTTTCGGTGAAATTTGGTAGATATTCGTTTTCGCTCTTTCTGAACCAAGGGACATCACTTTCATGCCAATTCATTAACTTTTTTGAAGGTGGGAGGGTCCCTTTAAGAATTGGCCAATCAGAGTTTAGTGCAGGAAAGAAGGAACGCGACGGATGACGTCATGTATCATATTCAAAAGCCTTGATTGGCGAAATGTAAAGGTTTTGACGTCATAAATCCCTCTTTGCATAAGGAAGCCGATGCAGCAGAACCAAAGCAGAACAAATTGTACAGTCATCTGCTGTTATTCTTGTATCCGTTCCCATCTAAAATGCAGCTAAAATGATTGCATATATTCCGCTGCCACTGCGCTATCTCTCCTGGCTTAGCCTGGCTATGACTACACGAGTCCCGTCATTGCCGTTCGCTGCCAAGAAAATAGCGAATGACTGAAAGCATCATTGTTTGAGACAACTGTCACGCTTTCTAGCATAATGCATTGATACTGTACCTACGCATATACACTTCTTTGCAATTTAAAGCAAACCTTTCCTCATGAAAATTGTCATGTTTTCTTTCTGGAAAGACGACAAAATTTTATCAATTTCGGGCGCTGCGAGGGGGCCGGGGGCGTTTGCCAAAAATGTTCTCTCCCTTGTTGGGATCCGCCGGTGTGAAAGAACAAGGCCATTCGGTCTATCCTACCTTCATACATCTACCGCTTCATGGGTTGAAGTTGGAAATGAAAATGGCATCAGTCAATACCTAATTACCCCTGACAGCAGCTGACCCCCGGTAGAGATGAGATGAAGGCGTATGGCGGTACCCGGGGCAGTCGTCCCGCCCGCGCCCAGACGGCAAAATGCGCAGGTACCCGGCGAGGCCGAGGTCATCCTTACCCGTTTTGTCAGAATATAGGTGCTCGCCCGTCATCAGACCAGTCCCCATCCTCCAAGACAGGTTTGTAAGCATGCAGAATCTCTGTCCGATTAGTCCCTTTGCCCCATGCGGCAGTGGAGAGACCGCCGTTTAGCCATCTCGCCTTCGTCGCGGCACCCGTCTCTGGATCATCGCCGACTGACACCGTCCGCTGCGCCCGCCAACGCCCCAAGAAAACACAGCCGCGTTGTAAATAGGTTTGTAAATGTCCTCACATTCACATAGCTTCGTGAACAGAACCCACAGCGTGAGTACGGCTACCGATATCAGAATAGGTAGACAACGGCTACCGATATCAGAATAGGTAGACAACATCCAGTCCGCGCCCGCACCAGTCGTGTGTACGACCAAGTCGGCTCGGCGGCAGCGGCGGCGGCGGCGGCGGCGGCGGCGGTGGTGACGGCGGTGGTGGTGGTGGCGGCAGCGGCGATGGCGGCGGCGGCAGCGGCGGAGGCGACGCGCGCCCGACCGCCCTGTGCGAACTAAGAAGCAGTGCCACTCGCCGTCCGGTAACCGCCACATCAATGACTAGCATATATTTACTAAAATCGAAAGGAATGAACGCTGCTCTCGCGTTAGAAGCACAATTTGGCGCTGCAATTTTGTTCGATTCCTGTGTGCACAAATATGTAGAAAACTCTCTCTCACACACACACTGGGGCGAGCCGTCGCACGGGCGCGCCCCAGCTCGCCTGCCCGCACCCTCCCGCGCCCCGAACCGCAGCTGACATTCTGCCTAGCTGCGCACGCGCGCGCGCGACAAAGTAAAACAGTATGAGGCTAGAGTTGTTAGTACGCCGTCCGCACCTCGTACAGAAATAAATAAGTCGTGCAAAAGATGGCAATGGCGACAAGGGCGAAATTAAAAATAAAATACAGTGTATGTAGAGCGTTAAGACAGTGACCGAACCGAACGCAAATCAGAACAATGGATGACGTGGCGGATTTTGCACATCATTCTCATGACACAGTATTGGCACACTCATTACATTCAATAACAAATGCACAACCACCCACCCACTACAGAAAGAACAACATCTCTCTTCATGTGTGTGTTACACAGAAATCACCCACGGTTATACAACATAGGGGGCGGGGGCGGGCAAGGGGCAGCAGAAAGCCGTGTGTGACCGCCCGGAGCGGCCGGGCGCGGCGGCCCGGCGGCGGTGGGCGCGGGCGCGGCGGGCGCCCCGCCACGGAAGCAGCGTGTCGGGGCGCGGCGCCGGCCGGGGCCACGGCCGACGGGCCGGCAGCACGGCCTCGCTCCAGGACCGTTCCACAGACGGCCCGACCATCGGCGCGCCGGCAGCAGCGCACGCGCGATAAAGATTTTACAAAACATCAACGAGAGCATTGACAATGTTTACTCACTAATCTTGACTGGAATTCCACGTGTCTACTAAGAGCGGATGTGCCGGCAGCTTCGTTGCCGTACGCTCGTGCGGCGCGATCAGCCGCGCCGAGCGCGCCCGCCGCGCGCGGACTCACGCACACACACGCGCGCGCGCACGCAGACCGGCCGTCCACCGTTTTGATTGACGACCGGGACTCGGTAGCGGCGGCGGCGGCAGCGCGCGGGCTGGCCGGCCGCCGGCAGGCCGGCCGGCGGACCAGCTCTCATGACAGGCCCAGGTCACAACAGTTCATACTGCCTCAGGTGCATTCGCTGTATAATGTCCCTGCAGTCGTTAAACACACGTCGGATGTTCTCTGTGTCGACGGCACACGTGAAGTGCGGGTAGCAGTAGTGCTTGCCGTCGCCACTGGCGGTGCTGATACGCTGTGAACGCAGGAGAGGGGCGGGCCGACGGTCAATGATGGGGAGCGGCGAGCGCCAACACGGGAGCCTGTGGTGCAGCGTGTCAGGGGAAAAACGGTACGACGCCCGCTGGACAAATGCGAACACTGGGTTGGTGAATGCAAAAAGTTAGCATACCCTGAAACGGAAGCGAACCAGTAATAACCGCAAAGCCAAACACAAGACAATGTGTGTGACAGGTGCACCGTGCATGACTTACACGACTGTTTCACACTGTGGCGAAAAGGTCCCGCTGTTTATATCACAGGATAGTGTCACCAGACCGTCAGCGTTCCCCGGCGCCATCCACACCGAATCCAGTCAGAAATACTACTGGAAAGCCTTCATTGCCAGTCATCAGCGATTGGGATGAGACAGGACTCACGAAGCCGCACAAAAGTAGTTACGATGACACCGGCGCAATAAAAATGCGGCGAAATATAGAAACTGCATCCGGACGAAGTGCGACGCTGCTTGGATTCAGGACAACAGAATATCCTCAATATCATATCTTTTCATTTTCCAACTTTACATCAACAATTATGTCCGATGGAATTATTGGACTTCGTGTACAGTGTACACGGGCACATTGAAAATCGGATGAACGTTGATGAAGTTCAGTGCAGATCATTCAGCATATGATATCGCGGTTCAACTCTCCCTTTTCTGAAATCGGAACACCAGTCGAATATATGTACTCGTCTTCATTATATTCGATATAGTATATGAAGGATCGAATTGCACAGTACCGGGCCAATACAATGTCCCAAAAAGCTACACATCAAGCCCCGACGGACAGACTTGGCAGACCTAGATACAACACGATACCGAGACAATCCAAGAATAACCGACAAAAGCCACCAAGCGAGAATACAGCCACTTGCCACCAGTCACGTTGATTATGGCGAACGACTTCCACGCCACACCATAAAGCACCTCACCGGGCACTGGGCCGAGCCGTGTAGGACATAACAAACCCAATTTGCCGCTGTTCATTAAGCGACTCTTACTGTTTTTGTGTCCCTTTTCTTCCTGAGCTCCTCCCTGTCGGACTCAGTTTTCCCTTCAGCAATCATCTGCAGCAGGGGAGGCAGGTAGGCGCTCAGAGTCACGTGCCACAACATCGTGATCCCGCCCCAGCGAACGGAATCAGTCAGCCATGGTCATATGGCAACTGATCCTTTTAGTGCCTACCCTGGTGACGGCAGCCCACTTGCAGCCCTTTCGTGAGCAGAGCTAAAATGTAGCAATAAGTGCGCCGTCGCGTCTGAGCAGCGTCGCGTCAAGTTTCCCGTTATTTTGTCCCACAGAGCTCAGGGAGGTGAGGGAGGGTATATTCATCTGAAGTACTGCCAGGCCCTAGAACAACAATGCACGACAATGTACCATGAACACACGTGCGAAAATGAGGTAATATGCATGTAACTTTAATCAATCCCCTTAAATTCGTAAGAAGTGAAAACTAGTTCAACGAGACGGACGGCTGGGAGCAACTGCCAAGGGGAGAAGAAGGGAGAGGGCAGGAACAACCGCTAAAGGGAAAGAGCGACCGGGTGGACAGAACAACGGAAGGAAGGACTGCAGCAGGGAGACCTCAGAGAGATGCAGTCTAGGCGCATCGCAGATAACAATAACCGGAGTCGATTATGAGAAGGCTGCACTAGCGGACAAAAGGAGCTTAATCTTTTCCTTCTGGATAGTCGGACGAATCGCCATCGATAGCTTCCGATTCCCACGCAAAGGCGGAGCTCCGCCAGAAGCGACCAGCTTCCGCTCCAGGAAATATTCACCTTCCGGTCAGGGAAGTAACCGACTTCCGGCCATAGAAATGTCAACCTCCTAGACAGGATTTCGTCAGGCTTACCGATTGGCGAAGTAATAACGTCATCAGGGCGGCTGGCAGAGTTGGCCCAAGAACACCTGCTGAGATTTCGGCCCTCGGGTACGACCGCGCGGCTTTGCTTGTTGATAGTCGACGACGAAAAATAAGCCGATGAGAGCAGACACTCGAAAGGTCACCTATGCATCGAGCGAATTCAGCAAGCCGTCAGGGATGAATGCCTTTGAACAGGGAAAATAATGACGCAATGCAGTGCGAAGTCCTGATCTGCAGAAACTGTCTCTCCTCCCCGATGTACCTAGATTACTCCTAGTGAAAGAGCATCCACGTCTGCATGAACGATAAGCACCGATGTCCCCTTACGCCTGGCTCTGTTCGACGAAAACCTAGCGACTGCTGATGAATGAGGAGGTCATAACCGGTCGCAATCAAGAGTTGGCGCTCCCTGACGCAACCTGACCTGTATCGGAGTATCAAAACGGTTACCAGGTGTCAACTGTCATCTGAAAAGCCAAGTCACCTACAATGTCTCACCGAATCAACGCCTTTCACCGAACAGAACTCACTCATCGGACTCAACACCGGACCCACAGGACTCAACAGGACAAGACTCGCCGAACTGAATACACAACATAAGCCCCACTACACAGCCAGCACAAGGAAACGAGACTCACCAACACTCCGTGTTTTCGTGGACGCTCTCAACATGGCACTGTTCCTTCAGTAGATACAACAAGCATTCACACTTCACCATACGTTACCCGCACCCTCCTTCTCACATTCCCATAAAACACTTCTAGCCCCTAGCTATCCAGTTAGTCTCACCTTTCAACATTAGCACCCCTCAAAACCCCAGTTTACTTCAGCTACTGCACCACCTCGCACCAACACCACCACGCAACACCAGTCGCCACCACCTTACAATCAGCACCAGCATATTCTAGCACTGTAATACAGCACTGACATAACCAATCTACTACACGCCCTGACCTTTTCACACTCCAGCACCCAACTCCCCAAACCAAGACCCCAAACTGTGTGTGTGTGTGTTTTTTTTTACATAAATCTATATCACCATCTATTCTTTAGCTCCCTCGCCGAACACCCAAATACGGTATTCCCCAGGACATTGAGAACAGCAATACAGTACTCCGAGACCATGAATGTATGGATCCACCCTACCAGACACGCCATCCCTTGCTACGTACCAGGAACTCATCGCGGATGAAGTATTTGGCCCTGACCACATTGGCTTCATCGTCCACTTCGACGTGTGCGTCCAGGGGCGTGGTGTAGCGCGCAAAGTCGGAAAAGTAGTCCTCCAGCTTCGACTTTCCGGCGCGGATTTTCTCCTCGAGTAGGTCCTGCTTGTTCAGGAAGAGGATGACAGAGATGGTCCGCAACCACCTGAGGCAGAGAAGAAAGAGCGAGGGAGGTTAGTGAGTGACGGACACGAGACAAGGTATTCAGCTGAGGGTGCAACGGCAAGAGTAAAAACAAAACGAGGTCAGACAGCATGTTCTATACAGCTGTAGAACAAAGCAAAAGAACGTAAGTTTTTGTTTCTAGTGTGTAAGATACCTGAAAACTTTTTTTTTTTAAAGAATCAGTCGCCCTGGCATCGTTAAATACATGGGCGAGGGACGATTCGAGTGACTTGAGTGACGCTGCAGTCTAGATCCGGCAAGTCTCTGCTGAGAATAACTAGATGGCGCACAGCCTAGAGGCGCAACAGCGCCCCCTGTCCCAAAACCACCGGTACTAGAGGCAATCTCGAGGAACCAGCCAATACGGGGGTCTACCGCGTCGCAACCAATGCGCATAGGACGTGGATAAAATATACCAACATCCCGTGATTCAGTATGTCGAGAAATACTGCCCAAGTGGGCTGCACAGAGGGGAAAACGAGATACAATACGGAGATGTAAACGCAAAGACCCCGGACAGTGACGTAGTTCTCGTGCACCGTTCCGTGCTTCTATCCTCAGGATACTGATATGCTTCTTCTCCACGCCACAGCCCCCTCCGGGCTGGACAGGCAACTTTATCTCATGCGGGCTGCTCCCTTGGAGCGGCACTGCTGCTCCCGAGGGAGCGCACCCCGTAGCCGGGTGCAGTGAGTACCTTGGGGCTGGGTGGCCCGTCCTCTGGACGGGCTCAGCCCCTGTGACTCACTAGGATGCCTGCCCAGACCAATGTCTCCCCCTAATTCCTATCATCCTCCCGGCTCTGAAATGGTCTAATTTGACCGAAAGGACCTAACCCCCCCCCCCAAAAAAAAAGTTCTCGTGAATTAGAGGCTGGCGCATCGGACGCACGAGATGGTATAATCGAGAAGTCAGGTAGGATTCTCGCAACAGCCATAGAGCTTTCATCGGGTTAAAACCGAGCCACCAAGTTTTTAACTTGGGCACAAGCCGTTGGGCAATCGAATGTGACGCGTGATGGATAGTTGCTTGTCGGTTGGCGTAAGAATAATAAATCCACTTGGTTACCGAGCATCTGTGGCCGAGCAATCAAAACAAACTAAACAGGACGCCAGCAAAAGGCCTATACCGCATCACAGCTATAGGGGCAGACAAACGAAAGTGGCAGAGTGAGAACGAAGGTAACAGCCGTCCAAAAGACCGAATGAAAGATTTTATCTCGAAAACCATGTCGTGGTCGTTTGATTCAGCACATTTCATTGAATTTCTCTGAGAAAAATTACACATTTGACATTTTTTAAAGAAAATAAACTACTAAAAAGACGCTGTTTTATGATAATGGACCGTTGAAATATGAGGGCATCGCTCTCGATCAGAATTTATGCTCACTAAGATCAATGCCAGCATTGAAAATCAAGTAATTCATTCTACATTTTTACAGTCATTGCAGGACGATTATCATCAAGCCAAGAATTGTCGGAAACCATTATCATCAAGCCAAGAATTGTCGGAAACCGAGGCGCGCTTAGTAAGTGACAAATCACATCCCGTACAGGCTCCTCTACACCTCTCCTCAAATCAATTACAGTGACAGCAAGATAGTCACCTGTGAACAGCCCTAAAAAAACGCGCTACATTCCATGAAGGAAGCTCGGAAGTTATCCGGTCAGACGCCGATGATTGTCTGCCAAGCAGAGCTGATGGAGTTCTGCTGAATAAGTTTATATAACAGAACGTCTGTGCTCGCTAGAAGAAAGTAATAACTATAAGTATTTCCAGTTAGAGCATACCATCGACTTTGACTGATATATTGCTATAAACCCCTGTACACCTCAGCTGATCTCTGTGTACAGAGGTCCATGTTATTGCCGATGAGTACGGGCTGGGCACAGACCTGTTGTTCCATATGCTCTTGAAGAGGTCGAGCGACTCCTTGAGCCGGTTCTGGCTGGGGTCTTCACGCAGCACCATGTTGTAGCTGCTGCACGCCGTCACGAAGATGATGGCCGTCACGTCGTTGAAGCACTGGATCCATTTTCGCCGCTCGTCGCGCTGACCGCCCACGTCGAACATGCTGTGGGCACGGGCGGACGGACGGCCGTGAGAGAGGCGCAGAGGGGCGGACGGAAGGTCGTGAGATGGGCTCTCAAAGACGGGCGGACAGACGGCCGTGAGAGAGGCGCAGAGGGGCGGACGGAAGGTCGTGAGATGGGCTCTCAAAGACGGGCGGACAGACGGCCGTGAGAGAGGCGCAGAGGGGCGGACGGAAGGTCGTGAGATGGGCTCTCAAAGACGGGCGGACAGACGGCCGTGAGAGAGGCGCAGAGGGGCGGACGGAAGGTCGTGAGATGGGCTCTCAAAGACGGGCGGACAGACGGCCGTGAGAGGGGTGCTGTAAAGAGGGGCCAAACATGAACACCCGAGGAACCCAAAGAAGGGTCAGATAAGGCACCAGAGGGAAGCACAGAAAGGCGAACAGACGGCCGTAAGAAGGTCTCACAGAAAGGTGGACGAATGCGTCGTAAGAGGAGCGAGGGGATCGGCCAAACACACGGTGACATGGGCGTACAAACGGCCCAAACATACTATGAGAGGGGCCCACAGATTGGCAGACGGATAAACCATGATGGGGCGCACAGACGGCGAGGGAAGAAAGACACAGCGAGAGGGGACCCACCATGAAAATACAGCAATAAACATTACTGTAAGTGTACGTTGACAGGGTTACAGCAGTGGGGGAACTAATTTTGTGATGAAACGATGTCAACACGTTATGAGAAGGAGGCAAAAACAGGATTACGAAATTCACGAAAGGAGTGTGAACGGAAAAGACGTCGATTAACGAAACTAAAACATGGTAAACAACAAACTTTTCAGCTTGTTACAAAAATCGAACGTCTTCACATCAATATGCTTGGCATCAGGAAGGCTTTGGAAATGCATTTGCACATGAAGAATGCACAAAACCGAAGTAGGTACATTAATGGTAACAACATGATTGCACCAAGTTAACAGTCATGCTTCAGTAAACACATTAAACGCATTTCTACCAGTCTGGTCAGATATTTCGTACGTATATTCTTCTACCCACGCAGACGGATCCGTCTAGGCTAATGGATCTCTGTTTGACAAAAAAGATCATGATGCAACCCCGATACGGGTCGTTATGAGCCGGGACAGGCGAGTCTCACTGTGGTCAGCGGCCGTCCCGGCGGACGAAACTGGCCGCCGCGGGCACACTCTCATTAGCGGGACTCCCTCCCCGCCGGGGACAGGTGCTTCACAGACCCGCGGCCCGAGGGCAGAGGAAGGAGAGGTTCCGGAAGACCTCCCACCCACGCAGCGAGACACGTCATGGTTGACATTTATCAGAGCTCATATTGCAGCTGAGAGCTGCCGCAGCTCTTCGCAGCTGGAACCGCAGCGGGTGTATTGTAGCTATACAATGTCGAAGTGCTTCCAGAGAAAACCAAGGTAGTAACAAAGCTTCGCCAAGAACCTTACGTTTTCGAATCGTCTGCTCATTATTCCGACACTTCAGCCATCTGTACGTTAACAATGCTGTCAAAACGACTGAGAACTGCATCCTCGCTACCTTCACCTGTCCATCGATTTGATTTAATTGCCGAAACGCGCACAGTCGACCCGGTCACTTACTGAAAGTTGACTTTGTCGACCTGGAACTTTGTCTCGAAGATGCCCGACGTCAGAACTCGACACCGCAGAATATCCTGAGGGCACCAGGGGCCAGGTCAGGTCAAGTCGCTACAAAACATGCCCAACGATTGGTATGAGCCACAGCTCGGGCGCGGTATTTAGTGAGCGTTGCTATCAGATAGCCGTTAAATATAGGCGAACTGTATTCACCCTTCGTGGACATGTCCACAGAGTTTCCAGTGAAAACCCAAACAACAACAAGAAGAAGATGACATTCGATGGAAGGTATCAGAACGCTCAAAGGACAAGTGAGAAATATTTGATCAATATTACGATTCCCTCGCGTATGGCCAACTAAATCTAATAATCGTTGTACTGTCGTCAGCGATTTGCTGGATGCCAGTGTCTAATTCTTTATGACTTAATATCCGCAGTGGAAAGGCGCCATGTTATGAGAAAATAACAATGATAAAGGCATCTGACTAGGCCCAGGTTACTTTGGAATATTTTTTGAACATAGAGCTAAATGTCTCTCTGGGATGAAAAGAGGCCAGACACCTCTACTCTTATGAGAGCCACAACTCCGAGTGAGCGGGTCCCGCGTGTGGCGCTCACCTGTTCTGTCGGGGAGTAGTCGTCCTGTCGGATAGTGCTGGTTTTGTCCAGGAAGCTGAAACAGACCAGACAGATCAGTGTCAGCGTGATCGATGATACAAACACGAGACGCACGCCAAACACAGTCAAAAGTTCCGAGCCAGACTTGTTCCTTATCGATCCAAATGCCGCCTGACACTGAAAACGCCACAAGGAGCTTCGTTCAACACTGCCCAAAGCTAAGTTCCGATCCAATATTTATTCCACATCGATCCGAATCCAGCCTGGCACTGAAAGAGACACATGCATCTTGGTTACCAACGCGACTAAATACAACATGGCTAACATCTCAGCATCTAACAAGGTTAGAAAGCCAAAAACTGATGAGGCCCGCATTACGCGTGTTAGTTTACGTCCTTCCTACCCACCCCGAACAGTGAGTGGCCTCCCGCAGTGCTCCGCCCCCGCCTCCTCCTCCTCCCCGCAGCGGCCGGTCAGCCCCGCCCCCTCCCCCGTCGGCAACCTTCAGCGGCGTCGGGACTCGGGGTGGCAACAGGGATTACATCGCCAACAGCGGCAACAGCGATTACAGCGTCACCAGGCGGACGGACCGGAACTAGAGCTGCCAGTTCCGCCACCAGAGCGCCGGCCGGCCGCTCGCCGCTCCATGGAAGCCGGCTGTTCGTCGGTGGAGCGCCGCGGAAGCTGAGCGGTGGGCAGCCGATGGGTCGACGAGGCCGCCCCGACGGACGGCCGCCGCAGACCGCCGCTAGGCTCGCGCCGGTCAGCCAGACTGACTCCTAAAACCTTCCACATAAGAAAACTGCCTTTAAAGGAAATAGTTCACTTTCACGAAATTATTTTTTGCAATGGATTTATGATTTTTTATGTTCAAAATGATCAGCAAAGAAAATAAAACCTATTTATAACAAAAGATTATTTTCTATATTTTGATATAAGAAGAACTTTTCAGTTTCTGTAAGGCACAGGCGATCCAGTATGAAAAGAGCATGGGTTCCGAAAATTCTTCAGAAACTAGAGAAATTATCGCGGCCACCGGCATTTGGGCGATCTGCTGCTGCTGAATGTCCTTATTGATCAGTACGAGAATTTCTCTAGAGTTCTCGTAGATAATTTCTCTAGTTTCTGAAGAATTTTCGGTACCCATGCTCTTTTCATACTGGATGCAAATATATGCAAGGCACACATCCTCAACGCAAGACACCTTTTTCGGGACGAGAAATAGAATATCTTTGCCTAGGGTGATCGTTGGGCTGTAAAAGCTCCTGATTTATGCTCGTCTCAGCCCAGGCTACGGAACTGCTATTCCAGTTCAAAACCCATGTTAAAAAGTGAACTATTTCCTTTAAGGTATGACGGTCGAATCGTGGCGGAAAACCGGAACTTACGATGGAAGCAAAAGTGTCGATGATGATGATGATGATGAATTGGGGTTTTTGGGCGCTCGGACTACAGTGGGCATCGGCTTCTAATAATGTCAAGGAAGTCCGAACGCAAGGAGCCTTACAAAACATTCCTTGTTGTCCCTATCTCCAAAAAACGAGGACAAAAGCTGAGACATAAAGCACCAATTTTACAAACCACCAAGCGGCAAACGGTACGGGCCTCTGCCGCCGAACACTTTTGCCGTCAATTGCTGGTCGCGACCGGACACGGATACGGCACCGGCCTGGCCTCCATCGTCTCGTGTCGCTGCCTCAGGAAACGAGATGAGGGCAAGTCGATCTACCTTCCTCAAGGAGGGACACAGGTGATGCACAAGACGCAGGTCAGGCACTAGAGCATGTCTTGTGCAGCTCGATTTAAGTCCGCGGTACAGGAGAAAGAAGATCCACTGCAGCTCGATGCACGTACTCTGTAGCTGAAAACAGATCCGGTGCCAGCGGTAGCATGTCCAGCACATTTCTTTATGTGCAGCCAAGTTACTAGCATTCCGCTACAACCAAATTGAAGCCGTATGCCTGCTGAGTTCCCCAGTTCAATCGCCGCTGCACAATGCCGGGTATGGGAGCCGCAGGCGGAACAAGGAAGGAAGTTTTAGCCGATCGATTATGGATCGATTCAACTGGCGACAAAGCTGCGACCGCAATAACAAAACAGCTGACTAATGTAATGTTTTGGTCGATCGACCGCATTTGACCGATCGATTCGAGTAGAACTTAGAATTATGTCGTGGTTTACAGATAAAAGTACAACAAAAATCACCAAAAAGCATCGTCCTGCCATGCGTTACTTGGTTCGGAGCTCGCCAACAGGTAGGTACACAATAGAAAACAAGGCATATTGCTCAATTAGTTGGCACTGTTTCTGGATATTACTGGCTACTGCCAAGAAGAATCAAATTAGCATGAAACTCTACGCTTTAGGACGACCTGTGGCATTAACAGCCACGCACCATGCAATAGCCAACCATGATTACCAACAAAGTGCAACTATGGCGACAGACATCAGCAGTAAGGCAGACAAATCAATCACGTTTCGATTAGACCAGGCGGGTAAAACAGCTCCACATCACACAGTCTGAGCAGCGCCATTAGAAATTCCTCCAGGCCGACCGGCGGGCGGGTCGGTGGGTCGGTCGATCGTCGACCCTGGCTCGGGTACAGGCAGACGCGGCAGACGACTGGTCGGAGCACCGGCGACTTGGGTCGGTCGATGTGTCGTGAGCAGAGGAAAAAAACGGCCGCCCACCACACCACGGCACCGGATGGCGGCAGCCACCGGCATCGGGCGGGGTACAGAAAGTGGTAAGTGGGGTACGAGATGGGGTACAGAATAAGGTACAACCACAGGATGGGGTTCATGTCAGGAGGGGTGCAGTATAGGGTACTTGAGGTGTTCTGAATAAATATCCTGAAAGGGTACTTTCATCAGAGTGAACATACAGCTAATCGTGTGATGTAATCAAGATGTTCTTCATCAGTCGAATCCCGTTGAATTCCAAGATATATCCGGTGAAACAGTCAGCAAGTAGGCACGCAAGTGATAATGAATTGCAGCTAAGGAGTTGATGTCCTGATTGTTAAACGTCGAGGCCCACGAGAGCACGCTCAAAACTTCTTCGCCAACCTAGCGGCAAGGAAGCATAGGGCACAGCCTCTGAACATCCGTCTGACTAGGTGCCACACATACACAACAGGCACCAATCAGAGCGCATTTATGTATAATCTCACAAGCTCCAGAACGCCGAAACAAAGACAATTACCAGTCGGGATGACACCCAGACCACCCAGTCAGGTGGAAAGCACACTGCGGCGCCATACGTTCGCGGAAGTTCACACACACAAAACACCGGTCAGTCAGGGTCTGCCGTGATGGATTTATCGGCGTTGCAGCTGCGACCGCGCGCGGCGGTCCGGCAGACAGGCGAAAGAATCTGCCTCGGCGTGCCGGCCGACAGTTCCCCAGCGCAGCTTGGTGCGCACGGAGGAAAGTCGGCATCACACACAAAACCCTTACGAGCGGGGTCGACACCAAAGCGGGGGCCACACAGTGCGCAAAGAAGCAAGCTGGATTTGAGGGTAGCAACTGCGGGGACCGTCACGTCTCTTATCAACACGATGTGGTTAAACTCTTCGTGCTGACGCGACCACATCAGGCGATTATCACCGCCCCGGTATCCACATTCACGCTCAGCGCTCATCATCATTCCAGACGCGACTCAGTCCGAGCAGCCGCATCCCGTCCTGTGCCGCCGGCGGGCGCCGCCACCGCTCCGGGCGGCGCGGCGCTGCTCCAGCCACCCACCCACCCCGTCAGCCAACGGTGCCAGCCCCGCTGCCGGAGCGCCGCGCACCGGCGCGTCGGCCGTCCAACCAGCAGCGCTGTCGCTCCTACCGCGGCCGTGTCCGGCAAACGAACCAAAGTCTCTGGACATCAGCTGTCCGATGACCGCAGTGGCCAGGCCCCATCGAGCGTGCGCGGTCGATCGCACCGCACCTGTCCGGCGGCGCGGCGGCGGCGGCGGCGGCGGCTGACGCGGCGCGCGCCGGCGTCCGCCGACCTTGAGCCAGTATCGACCGGGCCCGCCGCGCTGGGAGCGTGTGTACACCCAGAATAGAACACCGGCGGCCGCCTGGTGAGCCGGCGCAGCCCCGGCCGGCCACGTGCTCGGCGCCGCCGCGCTGCCGGTCAGCTGGCCGTGCAGAGACAGCCGAGCACGGTCCGTGGAGCTGCCGTTTCTGCTCACGGTGGCAATACCCACTGCTCCCCATTGCCGGGCTCGGTTCGAGCTATGCCCGTCGGCGTCGGCGGCCGCCGTCGTCGTCACGGACCAGCTGATGATGGCTGCAGTTGCCGGGCCGGCGGGCTCGCCGTCTTCTCGGAGGCTCGCTCAGAGGCGCCGACCCAGCGGTCGTTCCGGTACAACCGACAAGAAATGACCGCTGAGACCGAGCTGCCGGTGCAATGGAACGGCGCAAAGAGTGACGAGGCGGCGACTCAGTCTCTCTGATCCCTCTCCCCGCCGATGAGGGTCCATTCAGGAGGGCGAGGATCACCCCCGCAGTCCTTTGTGGGTGTCTCAACCGCGACAGGCCTCACACAAGCCCGGTGGTCATGCACGCGCAGCAACAGAACGACAGCGGTCACTGAGCTGTGCGTCACTCACTCAGCCGCCAGCTCCAGCTGCAGAAACAACGGGAAAACACCGGCCGACGACTTCCACCAAACTGGCGGCAATGCCTCCAATGCCGGCGCGCCGCCACAAAAGCTGCAGCCGAAGTTATCCGGAGAGAAACCTTTTAACTTTCCAGGCCAGCCGCCCGGAGAGAACTCGTTCGATCGATCGTCCCATTGACTAGCCGGCATTACTAAAGCTATGGAAAGCGGTCTCGGCGGGAGCACCGACAGGCGACCAGGGCGACGGGACGCGAGCGGCGAGCGTTTACGGAAACGAATTGTTTTGTCAACACACCAAGGTCAGGTCAGCCCTGGCGCGGAGGTCACCCCGAGATTCAGAATCACGGCCTATGAGGAACGATAATAAAATTAAAACACGAGTTCCTTTGAAGGTGTTGTACCCGTAACTGTACCGCGTAATGTTCTTTTAATGAAATTTATTGACTTAAAAATATAATCACAAAAGTAACCGTTATATTTTATATTTTATTTATAAAATATTATATTTTTAAGTACGTCTATGTCCCTCAAAACAGTGCTCACAACAATTCAGAAATTTATTGACGCTAAAATAACTAGTAGCTGGTGCTGAAAGTGCGGATCAATGTATAACTTTCAAATTAAATAAAAGTAAGGGTCGCACAGCGCCGAGGCAGCGGGTGTCATTCCGCTGTGGTAAACTCCGGTAATGCTGACACAGACACTGACACTGACAAGGCGGCAGCAAAGAACAGATCTGACGAAACTACACATACCGGCCATTCACAAAACGAAGACCGGGGCTTATACTGATACAAGGTATAGGAAAATCGTGGGCGCAACGCTTAAACGTGTCGTGTAAGTTAGTACTGTTGAATAATGCACATAATCTGGCGACTCTATCGTCTAAAAAAGCAAATGTCCCAGGCCCTACTCCCTAGCAACACCTTTGAACGTTGTCCGAGGCAAAGTCAGCTGGGGTGGGTCCACGCAAGTTAGACCAGCCGAGCCGGTTGATGGTAGCAGCTTGAAGTCTCCGCCCCCTCTCCTAACGGTCCCCAAGCGGTACCATCCCTACCCCAGGAGGAGTTGGGTTGGCCCGCAGCAGCAGCAGCCTGGCATCATCTCTGTTCCGCCCAGCGCTGCAGACCGCGTCGCCGAAGCCCCCATTTCCACGGCCCTCCGAGCCACCCTCGGCAGCGTTCGCCGGCTCATCATCTGCCGCGTCTCCGGTCAGCACGCGCTGCCATGACAACGAATAAAACAGCATCTGACGGCGACCGCCTGGCCTGAGCCCGGCCAGGGTATGCACCGCCAGAGCAGACACAGCTAATGTCACGAGGTCGGCGCGCACCGTACAGACGTCGCTACATGACCGATGTGAACAATAAGAGAATATAGATCGGAAAACAACGGACATCTTCACTGTTGAGATAGTAAATGAGATCGTTGCTATGATTGCCGCATTATATGAGATACACAAATCGGTCCAGAATAACGCCAAAATCGGCGATTCACATGCAGTCTAAACACAAGCCAACTCAACTCAGACATGCTTATTGCTTGGCCGCTTGGACAGCACAATGAATGGGCTCTGTATTGCATCAGCGACATGACTGCACTGTTTCCTATCCTGGTTAGAGTGTGGAAACCAGATAGTATCGGCCCTGTGTGCAATCGGGCCCGATCGGTCGCGGTGCAGATTCACCCCGAAAACCATCGCCGCGCAGCGTGGCGCCGATTCGCTGTGAATGGACAGCGGTCTGCCGCACTTTCCGTGCCACTTCCGTTCCAAATCAGCGGCAATTTAAGGAAAGGAAGACAACCTGCTTTGCACAACCGTTTCCACTGAGTGAATGTCACAGCCAGTGCAAACCATGGACATTCACTCACACTACTTGCAAGAATCGTTCGGTATCCGTTAGGATAGACACTTACTTTCACATTATTCAATTCACACAGTTCTCGAAATCCGCTTCTTTTCAAAAGCCCACCCGCAAGCTGTGGCACCTGTGAATCATGTCTAGTGTGACAGCGCTGGAAATAAACCGGATAGTATCGCTGGTTTTATTTTACTGTTGAGTTGCCAACCAAGTTGGGAATACTTGGTAAGTCAGCGCGGGCCCCACGCCGTGAGTCAATGCTCTACTACATAACTCGCAAAGAAGCCGGCCCGTACGCTAATACGGGAAATCAGTAACAGGAAACAGAGGACGGGAATCCTGGCTGAGCGCCGTGTCCCTTCGCTCGCACGCTACCGCCGCGCGCACAGGGCGGCCTCCTGGGTAGTCGGCTCACAGGCGCCGCGGCCGCCGCCGAGCCGATCTCAAGTGGCGGCGATAGCCAAGACAAAGTAAATCTGTTCAGAATCAAGTGCGCGCCGCGATACTGGGTGGTCTCGTGGTGCCGCTCAGCGCATTTAGGCGCTGTTTGGTAACAATATAGCGGCCGCGGCGTGCGGCATATCGCGACAAATTGCACAGCTCGGCTCAGCCATCTTTGCCTCAACTGGCAATGGCACACGGGGCAGGATCCTTCACTAGCGGCTTCGGCCGACGACAAAGGTCATGACATCTCTCGAGCACGACAGTCATCGGGTAGCAGTGCAATACAACTTCAATGACGCCGCGGCCGAACAGGAGGCGCGAGACCGCAGGAGCCGACAATACGCGGTGTCGTCCGCATGGACATCATGCCGGTCAAACAGATTTTCAGAGACCCGCCAGCGAGGGATGGTGTCAAAGTAAGTTACTTGCGGATGCAGTTTCACCAATAGCAATGTTCTCGAGAAGCTCCGTTGCCAAGCTTTCGATATGTAATGCCTGGCACTACAATCTACGAGCAGCGTCTTCTTACGCAAGCATTTAACACCCAGTTACATAAAATTTACGGCCCAACACGACTCGCGGCCATAATAACGACAATCTACCATCGAATTGGACGTTCCGTCATTCCTCTGTAGTCAGTGGATTACGAGAAAAGGCGGACAAATGCCAGTTTCAAAGGCCAATAAGAATCCTTACTCCTCAGCGACAAAAGGGAATCACGACTCAAGTTGCTGTTTTTCTTCAGTTTCGGCAAACGACTCCCATGGCTGCAGTAGCAACACTCAATTATTCACCACATCACTACATCTCTCACACCAACCTAAACCTGAGAGGACGAGCACCAGCATGAGCTCGAGACTCGTGAGTCCGAACTAAAAATACCTCCGCTAACAACCTGACTTGCTGGAATAAATCTGAGAAGTCAGAACAGACGGTAGAGTACAGAAAGAATGCTACAGCACGCCCGGCCCGGTACTCACTATTTGGCGCAGTCGATGAGTTGGTACTCATTGGCGCGCTCGTAGCAGGCCTGGACGCCCTTGTCCTGCCACAGCGCCTCGACATGGTCGTAAAACTCCTGTGGATAGAATAGATGCGTCATTAACGCACAATGCTGGATACAAACAGCAGGCACCAGTCAATGACAACAACATAGAAATATAATCATACGTAGGATAGTGAGCGCAAACAGAAATTGGTATCGATAGGGGACAGAAAGCGGTACACAAATACCACTGTGCACATAGGATAAAGCCGAGCACCTTGGAAGATGAAGTAAGCATTAGGTAAAGAATGACACGAACAGCATTGCATCGACCTGATAAGTCATAAATTGGTGGCATCTCTCACCTAAAAACAACAGATAAACTACCGTGACGCAATGTAAGTTGGAATGCAGATACCTATCTATTTCTCGGACTGTGGTCCCTAATTCGCCTGTGATTTTTCACCCACAAGATGCTATTTTCACTTCACCATTTTCACTTTAAGGGTTTCAAAGCGAGCGCCAAAATATCGGTAAAACGATTACCTATACATCAACTTGAACCACTACGATAATTGTTCTGCTGTATCATCTAAAATCTTAAGGATTTAATCTGGAAAATTAAGTAATCAGAAACGGACGGACACAAAACAGCATTAACAGTTGCAGTAACCATGCAACAAATTTATTCAACCTCAGTCCACATTGATGTTCCAAACAAAAGGAAGGGCTGCCAAACTTCAGAAAGAGGAGTAACACTGCTGACGATAGATACACTGCACGGGACGAATGTTCTCCCCAGGGCAGACGGGGAGAAGTGGGAGCCCGTTTTTCTTACCGGCGGGTAGTCGAAGTAGGGTTGGGACGCCACGTCTTGCACATAGTTGACGCGCGCCTCGTTCTCCGTCTTCTCCAGTGGGATCGGCGGCGACAGCGTGCTCATCGCTCCGGTGATGGTCTGTAGAACAGAGGGAAAGGGGCAGATGATGTCATTGGCCAAAGGACACGCACACAGAAGAGGCGTGGAGTTGAAAGAGGGTGTGTTAGGTGTGGGCATTTTGAAAAGGCGTAGTCGTGTGTTCATTGACGATAGACCTAAACAAATAATTGAAAGTAACTAAAAACTTAAAAGAAGCTTGTGGTGTAGGCTAAGCTGTAGGAGTTTTTTTTTTTGTCGTAGGAGTTGTAGTAGGAGACAACTTCATATCATGCATTATCTTTCATACGCATTCTCTTTTCATTCCCTCAAGAAAGGGCACAATAATCCCTTTCTCAAAGATATTGCTGAAAACTGAAAGGCTCTCTACAAATGTTTAAATAAATTAACACATTTTGACGAGTGGGTTATGGCTGTCGGCGACACTCCGACTGGCTATGGCCGGACAGGTGCCGACTGCAGTGGCCCCGGTCGAGCCACGACTACGGCCCGGGGAATCCCGGACCGGGCTGGTGACACCGTTCTACGGGACGGGTACGATCCCCACACAACGGGTGCCCCATGGTACCCTAACAATGCTACAATTAAGTGGAAGTGGGTCGGACCAACGAAAGAAACTGGGAAAATAAAACCCAGCCCATGCAAGGACAATGAAATGGCAACATATCCACATCAAAACCGAGGTACCGACATAATTTTACGCACCGCATAAAGCACCCGACATGAATCAGCCATACTGCATAACCAAACCATAACCGGTTTTAGCAAGATCAGTGCCATAATTTGAATGCCATACTTAACTAGGATTGAACGCCAATAGCTCAGTGCTCTGAAAATGTAACTGTTCACGCGACCTGGCGCTCTGTTCGGTGGCGCCCTCTGTGGCAGAGACGGTAGTTTCTCCGGGATGATTACACCCACACACGAACAGCCAGTGGCCTGACCTCGGCCGGCCGGGCGACCGCCGCCGGCCAGACCCCCCCCCCCCTCCCTCCCCTCCCCCAGACACACACAGGCGGGCGGCGGGCACGTGAGCACTGACTGAGGGGTAGGAATCTCGGCCGAGTTAATTCACTGGATGGGGAGATGCATATCGTAAGCGACATGATAACAAATTTTTACTTCTTGGTGAGAGTGAGTGAAGAGGTAGAAAAAAATGATGTGGCATTCCCAAACTGAGGTAAATTCAAACATAAGGTCACAACATCTAAAGAAAGGCACCTAAACAAGAGAACAACAAAGTAACTTAGGTAATCCAAAAATCAAAATTGGTAAAAACGGGAAACACATGTTTCCAGCCAGAGATAGAACATTAAACGATACTAGGGAATTTACAAGGGGAATGTCGTTGAATCAGATTTAGGAGCACAATTACCCACGAATGTAAGCACTCATTTTGAGTGAAGCCACCATATCAATGAAGACCGCAGTACTTACCAATATGGCGTCTCGTACATTTTTCTTGATATCTGCGATCTTTTTCTTTTTCTCTCTGAAAAAGAAAGATAAGCGTTAGAGACAGCAGAGATAGAGAGCGCAGTAAATACTGCGTTAGAGGTCACTCGTACCAGATAAGTTCAAACAACAGGCATAAATGAAGCTCGGATGATACTGAATAACACCGTGTGACGAGCAACTTTGATCGTATGTCACTGGGGAATAGTTCTGCCGACACAACACCCATGCAGTAAACGGCACTCAACAGGATACTACTGAAACTACTGCATATATGTACTGGGGTAAGGTAACTCACTGGGTAACTGGGTGCTTGGTCGCGTCATGGCGAGGACAGGGGCTGAAAGTTGAATACACAGGCATGCTAATAACTAGGTAAGTAAAGACGTTATGCAAGTACAATGCAGTGAATTGCCCTCCTTGTTCAACAAGCGACGAAAACACCAAAAAGTGAACTTGTTTGTTAATTGGGGCTTTAGGGCGCGCCGACTACTTAGGTCATTTTGCGCCCATACCAAAAAGTGAACTAAAAATGGTGAATCCAATAGATAGATTCAACCTTCATCTAGGTGAATCATGATGTTTTGCTTTCATCTGCATCTGACTGAGCGCCAGACACCCAGGACAGAACACCATCAAATTATCGTTTGGTGGGCAGTTCCTTAACCCCGACCGAACACCTCACGCTAAATATTGTGATTATTATTGGTTTCTATAGTTGGAGGTCTCCGCCCGTCTCGCCGTGTTTGTTGCACATTTCCGGTGGACCGAGAGCCCCCTGCAGCCGGCGGCAGACGAGGTCGCGCTGTTGGCAGGCGGGACGAGGCTGACTTCAGCCCGCAGCGAACAACGAGGGCGGCCGGGCCGGCGGCCTACTGTTTTGATGACTCGCCGTGGCGGGGGCGGGGGCGGGGGCGGGGGCGGCAGGTGTATCTGAAGCGGCCGCCCGCCTGTTGCGGCCGTGCCGGCGCAGGCGCGGCATGGTCGGCGCGGTCGGCCACTGCAGGCCGGCTGGCCCGCTCGCCGGCCGCCCAGCCGCGGCGGCTCACTTCCGCAACAACGGTCGATCGATGAGGGTCGCGCCGCCGCCGGACAGCCGGCCGGCGGCACATCGGACAGTTTCCGGACAGCGAGACAGACCGGACAGCCGGCCGGCGGCACATCGGACAGAGTTTCCGGACAGCGAGACAGACCGGAGTCTGGACAGCTAGCTCGGCGGCAGACAGCGGGACACATTGGAGACCAGCGCCGGACATCGGACAGCGCCGCTGCCGGACAACCAGCGAGACAGCAAAACGGGCAGCGTGCCGCTAGACAGCTAGCCCGGCGGCAGCCAGCGAGACTTATCGGTCTGTCAGCGGGGCGGGACGTCAGGCAGCGTTACCGGACAGCTAGCATCGCGCAGGACAGGAGAAAAGCAGCGCACGGTGGCCAGCGCCGTAGCAGAACTGTAACGGCCATTCAAATCAATTTCTACAAATAAACCGCCATTCTACTAGGTGCCGCTATATTGTACGTAAAACCTGAAACAAACAATAGTATCAACAAAAAATAATACACATGGACACACGAACAACACAAAGACCAATCATTTCAAAGCATTGCATACATTAATCAATTATCAATGGACAATAATCTTACTTTTGTGGGATCTGACGTCCCAGTATCACAATCGTACGTGTCAATGGCCACGCTCCACCGCGTGCCACGCCCTGTTCAAGGTTCTATTTAATTGGAGGCGGCAAATTGGGGAAAAGAAAACATCGCTGCCCAATGACCTCTGGGCGGCGGTTACACTCCCACCAATCGGTCACGATTCTATAACAAGACAGTCCACATTTGCGCAACACGACCGCGGAGCGCAACCATCCTGCGCCACACGACCGACGACGGTAAAGATGGTGGCAAACTGAAATCATCTAATGTCACGGGAGTTGCCCGTCGTCCATCACTAAGCGTCACTCGGCAGCCGCTCACGATACGTAGCGCCAACACATACTAGTCAGCTCACTCGTCGGCTGACGTGCCACTCTCCTCAGTTCACAACGCACTAACAACCACCACACTGTCGGTGGCTGTTAACTGTTTATGTCGCACGCTCTGAGGCACTGCATGACCGTATGTCTCAGTTAAACCTTCAACGTCTGAGCCACTGTCATCGAATGAGCCACCGTCGTCACTGTCAGAGCCACAGACAGTCCCACGCGCAACGCTCAGGGTCGTAGCAGTAGTCTAGGCTACGCAGCAGCTACACAGTTCAGCCTGACAGCCACGCACAGTTCAGCCCCACTGAGCGCCGTCGATGGCTGCAGCCGCCAACTCTGCTCAAGCACCGCCGAAGCCACCACCAGCGCGCGGCCCGGCCCCGCAGAGCGCCGCCGGAGCCACCAGCAGCGCGCGGCCCAGCTCCGCCGAGCGCCACCGAAGTCGGCGCCTACGGGAGGAGCCGCACCAGCTTCTGTATCGGTCGATCATATGTTCCGTCTTTCGTGCGTACGGCGACCCGCCGGACGAATCCGTCGTCGGACGGATGAAGCCGCGTGACGCGCCCCAGCATCCACTTGCAGCGGGGAGAGTTGTCGTCGACAACGAGCACGACGCTGTCCAGTTCGATGTTCTCGTGCGCTGTCGCCCATTTCCTCCTTTCCTGGAGACTCGGGAGGAACTCGGAGCGCCATCGTTGCCAGAACCGGTTTGCCAGGTACTGGACGCGTCGCCAGCGACGACGGCAGTAGACGTCAGTCCTCTGAAAGGCACCAGGCGGCGAAAGCACTACATTACATTTCTGTGTTAGTAGAGCCATGGGTGAGATTGGGTGGGGTTCATCGGGAGTCATGTTGAAGGATGTGAGGGGCCTGCTATTAACGATAGCTTCCACTTCGCAGAGCAGCGTTCGCAGGAGCTCGTCATCCAGCCGAGCCCCGTGACATTCCTGAACGAGACCGCCCAAGACAGCCCGAGCGGAGCGAATCATTCGCTCCCAGACGCCTCCTGCGTGGCTGGCTGTTGGGACATTCATCCGAAAGATGACCCAGAAGATGCTCTAGTCTCTGAGAGCACGACCATCTTCATTTTTGATTGCGGGCCAGCTCCTCAACTTCATGCGATACGTGTTGGATATGATGAAGTCGTTTCCGAACCTGTCGTTCAGTCTCGCCTTCGCCTGCGAGTAAGCCTCATCTGTCCTCAGGTGGAGCAGGCCCAGGATGGCTGTCTTGGCTTCACCCGCTGTGTACTTTCCTAGAAAGTGAAGGCGTTCGATGGGAGAGGATGTCTGATGTTCAATATAGGTTTCAAAAGACTTCAGCCACATTGGAAACTCCTCAATGTTGCCACTGAAGGTGCCTGGTTCCAGCACGGGAAGCCTACTACCATTGTGTCGCTCAGTAAGCAGATCTGCCAGTCTGTGTAGTGCTGCTTGAGTGCTGGGTTCATCATCCTCCACTCGACCATTGGCTGTCTTGTCGTTTCTTCCTGTACCTTGGACATTATCCTCCACTTGGACTGCAGCATCAATGGAGACATCATTTCTTGGTACTGCTCCAGTTCCAGTGACCACTTCAGTATTCTCCTCCTTTGCACCAGGTCCAACTTCATCACTTGGGTCTTGACTTGCTCCCTCCTCCCTGTCAACATCAAACTGGTCAACCACCCTCAGCTTGGCTTCATTTATGTTCATTTCTGTTTCTATATCCAGTTGTTCTTGCTCCAGCAGCAGCTGTTCTTGTTTTTGCTTCAGATGCTGCCTTCTTCTACTCATTGCAGCTCTTGCTTCCAGCTCTGCTCTGTCCTGCTGCATCTTGAGCTTCATGAGCACAACCTGTGCCTTTACTTCGCTGCCGGCACATGACTTGCTTGAACGTGATCCACCAGCGTCAGATCTTGCAGGAGTAGCATCATCTGCGGAGACTGAAGACAGGTGAGCCTCCACCTTGCCTTTCAGCTCATTCACTTCAGTGAGGTTCTTGTCATGATCCAGGTTTTCTCTCTCTTCACCTTCCATCAGGGAGCATATCACTTCATATGTTTGCACAAAATCAACATAATCATGCTTCCAGACATCAAAGTCCTTCCTGATCACTTGTGGCTTTTCTTCCTGCTCAACAGACTCCAACAGTAAGCTGCCACGTGATCTCAGCTTCTTCAATAACTGCTTGTACAGCTTTGACTTCTGAGCAGCCTGGTAGCATCTACCTTTCTCAGTGGTCCGCAGCTCCCTGCCTTTCGCAGACAACATCCTCTGTTCGTCACTCATTGTGGACCAGGCAAGGAATTGCTCAAGAAAAGATGGCAAAGGATTTAGTTTCACTACTTAAATAAATGTAAGAGGTGCAAATAATAGTGTAAATACTGCAATAACAAAACAAAAATGAAGCACAAAAAATTGTGACCCAAAACCAGTGCTAACACGTCAAGGTCAGACGTCCAGGTGCTGAGGCCAAAACTCAAGGTCAAAGTGACAAATTCAGGTGTGTCTAGCTACAAACACCTCTACTAGTCAACCATCATGCATGATACGACAGGGGGAATCCTACTAACAACCCTGCGTAACCACTGACAGTCTGACTGCGCTAGAATCTACAACCAGTTGATATTCATTCAGTGCAACTGAAACTGTTAAAAGAAGAAAATAAAGACAATCTTTCAACTACAAAGTCTCAAAATCAGGACTAGATCCTAAAAGTTTTACTGTAACGGCCATTCAAATCAATTTCTACAAATAAACCGCCATTCTACTAGGTGCCGCTATATTGTACGTAAAACCTGAAACAAACAATAGTATCAACAAAAAATAATACACATGGACACATGAACAACACAAAGACCAATCATTTCAAAGCATTGCATACATTAATCAATTATCAATGGACAATAATCTTACTTTTGTGGGATCTGACGTCCCAGTATCACAATCGTACGTGTCAATGGCCACGCTTCACCGCGTGCCACGCCCTGTTCAAGGTTCTATTTAATTGGAGGCGGCAAATTGGGGAAAAGAAAACATCGCTGCCCAATGACCTCTGGGCGGCGGTTACAAGAACAGATCAAATGATTGCACCTGCCACAGCCAACCAGTAGGAGCAGAACCGGACAATGTCATGTGGCTTTAATGATCTTCGTTATGCATGGTTAAGTCCAAAAGATTGGGCACTAGCCAAGGTCATAGTATGGCCCGCCACCCCCCCCCCCCCCACACACACACAGATCATACACACGCCAAGGCGTTCACAAAACATATTTGTCACACGCCGACCGAGTGTATGGAAGCTCAGAGAAAGGGTTATATGTAGAAGCACCAGTGCTCAGTGTGTGGGGGAGGGGAAGGGGAGCAGGGTTCACCGGGCATCGGTTCGACCCACGCATTAGCCACGATTGAGCCGGTAAGGGAGCACCTGCAGGGATGGGGACGGCCGCGGCCGCCGGCTGGCAGAGCTGAGGTGATCGAGTAACAACCGCAACAGCACGGCCAGCCAGTTGGCAGTGGGGCCGGGCCGGAGGGCACAGCCGCCCACAATAGCCGACCTTGCCGGCACAAACACATCAGCACTGAGCCACGCGCACGGAAACGTGCCGAACTGGGGTCGGACGGCGAGGCAGTCAGCGGGTGACATTGAGAGACGAGCGCCAGTGATACCTACAGTTGTGCCCTGAGTTCTTAGAGACAGAGCGGTAACCGCAGGCGAGGCTTGACGGGCACGCGTCTAGGACCAAAAAGCTACACGAAACCATGTAAAAGACACAACAGAAGCCGGGGAAAACCATGAGCCATCCGAAGAGCTTGAGTTTAGGACAGAGCCGTTTGTCCAGTCTCGCGGAACCGGATTAAATCGGTTCACATCCAACGCAAACCGAAATCAAAGTCCGTCTCCATGCGAACCAGTGATGGGCCCAGCTACTCAGAGTTACATGCATTCACAACATGCAAGCCTAGATACCTAGACTCGCGATAGTTCCACGCGTTCACTGGGCGATCCTCCCGCCATATTACCCAGACTCTCTTCTCCGTATCCCAATCAGTCAGAAATTACCGCGTCCGTCACGCGGCCTCCACCGCTGACCTAGAGACCTCTGACCCCGACCTGACCTGACTCTGGCCGGGTTTCAGCCGCTCGTCGAGCTGTTACAGATCACACAGTTTAATGTCCGCAGACGCGGTAATATGACCGCACGCTCCCAGACACCCCTCGCCCACCCCTCAAGTTACGAGGGTGGCCGTGAAGAGACGGTCGAGCGGGCATGCCTTTAGACAGCCGTCTGGGACCGTCGCGCCGTCCAGACAATCGGACCCACGGACGCATCAAAAGGAGACGTCACATATATGGGTCCGAAGCGAGCATCCTTTGCCCGAATCGCTGCTGCAATGACCTTTTTCTCGCTAGCTGGGCAAAAACGGTTAATCATGTTGTCGCGTACTGACCAGTGACCATTACCTGTTCGCACACCGAACATTAACACGCGCACTGCGGGGGGGGGGGGGGGTTGTTGTCAACCACCCCCCTCAACCCCCTCTGGTTTTTTCGCTGTAACTCAAAAACCAGTGAAGCTACGACTTTGAAACTTTGTATAGCTGTTCATCAAACAATTTTACATCACCTCTGAAAAAATTAGTGTTAGGTCATGCAAGGTCAGGTCACCATGTCACGATAAGTGACCTCACCTCATAAAAAGTTTGACGCTGTGCTACATCCACACCATTTGACTGAATGCTATGAAACTTTCAGAAACATATAAGGAGACCATAAGGAGCATTTTATATATTTCGAAATTTTTATTTCTTTGACCTTAGGTCAGGCCACTTTTTGGGGCCCGGCATGCAATTCAACGGTCACCAACGGTTTTTCTTCAATAACTTTTAATTGAATAGAGATAGAGACTCCGTTTGACGTTTATCGTGTTTGTCTTGTCAATGCGGATCGAATGATATGCAGCATGACCTATTTCGGTCATGTCATGACCTTGACCTGAGGTCAACTTTTGAACTTGACCTTCCGAGGTCATATTATATACCATTCGATGCGCCTTGACGAGCTAAGAACGATGGTGTGTGAATTATTTCTCTATCTCTTTGGGAAGAAAAGTTATTGCAGAAAAAGCATTTCCGGAAAATTTGCAATATTGATCTGACATTACATGACCTCTATAGGCTGAACCGTTGACCTTAGGTCAAATCTGAGGACAGTTTAGCGAAAGAGCGTTTCAAGAGCTATCGAATGCTTTTTTTCGCAACTTTCTAGCTCATCTAGTTCCCGAGATAAAGCGGGAAATATGCAGGGATGTCGAGATCGCTAAAAAATCGCAACATTTTGAGTTTGGTGACCTATGCTGACCTCGTTTTTGACCTGACCCAAAAATGGTCTTTGTATTTCTTGTAGATCTCATCTCAACCTATCCAACGCCGTTTACCGCTTGTCGCTACGTTGCGCCGTTTTCGAGATCTCAGGGGGGGGGGTTGTTTTCAACGGGTGCCACTCTCTTCGTCTAGCATCATTTGGTCTAGTGCCTTTTGAGCTAGTGCAATTGGTCTAGTGCTTCAGCTGGTCTAGCGCCAGTTTGGCTAGTTTCGTTTGAGCTAGTGCCAAAGTGCCATTCATTTGAGCTAGTGCCTTTGGTCTAGTGCCGTAATTTCGTCTAGCTTTCAGCAGACTCATTTCCATGATGGAGGTGTATTACCATGCTTGGCACAATAATTAGACTCACGAGGAAAAGATTTTGGAAAGATTTTTCCTTTTTTGGCGCGACCCCCCAGACTCCCCAGACAACTCCCCGCGTCAGAAAGAAAGGTTTAAGGCGGGTCATGACGTTCAAAAATCCAAGAAAACTGTTAAAAATATGAATAAACGCCTGACAACACTTATAACCAGACTAGCGGAAGGCACCATAGAGCGGGCGGAATTCCTTCGTGGCGTGGGATATGCTATCACACTGAACGTTTAAATCCGAAACATCAAGATTTGGGCGGGTTGCCTTTAAGGTTTGAAGAAACTCTATATATGTTTGTTCCGGCAAAAGGGCATCTGAACTAAGTACACCAACATCCGAACATCTGAAATCTGAAGTGTGTTATACATAATCGAACGAACGAAATATATACGACAACGAGACCGAACTTTTTCATGGTAAACATGGCCGAGCATCTCAGGGAACTATATATTTCAAATAATTCGGGAACTAGCACAAATGAACTAGACCAAATATGACACTAGCTCAAATGAAGCTAGCTCAAGTGGCACTAGACCAAATAAAGCACTAGACCAAATGAACTAGCCCAAACGATACTAGACCAACTGACACTAGTCCAAGTGGAGGGGACTCGTTTTCAACCCCCCCTCTGCAGTTCGTGTTCGGCTCAGACCCGCTGCAGTGCGCGTGTTAAAAACGTCGAAACCATGTGAAATGAAGCCAATGAGCAAAGAAAAGCTGTCAAGTCAAACAGATCAAACATGAAGCCGTGGAATGTCTCCACCACTTGTTGCTACGAGACCTAGGGAATGCCCACAGGTTTTCCTTCCCAGCTTGAGTGGATCACGTCAAGAGCCGGCAAAGTGCGTTTAAACACTCATTTGGAACGGCATGCCTGTTTAATGCGAAATAAGGTCGTTGGCAGTGAGTCTTGGAAAGGAAGAAGTGCCAGAGTCGGGTGAGCCATTGGCATGAAGCGTCCCATACGATGATGATGACTTCCTTCGCAAACTTCGATATAATTTTGGCGATTAAGACGTTTAAATGCAAATGGCAGCGCACTGTAGGCCATGCGTTCATCTGAACACATGAAAGTGGGCCGCTTAGTCAACCAAACGGCAATGGGATAAGCGCCTCCTGACCTGGACCTCCATTTCAAACATTTCGTTTGAATACAGAAAGATTGCTGGTGATTTTTTTCTGTACATTATCACCTGTCTAGGACAACAAATCGCGCCCTTGGCCATGTTTTGAGGTAGGGAGGAGGAAAGTGTCAGGAAAACAGGAAATAATTGGATGCAAGAAAAACAGGTTTTATAGAGCACTCAGTTCACAACATTCAGTACGAATGCAGTGAAACTGACGTAGACACTGTTCTTCATAGCTCAGGCATTATTCGACATCGTAATGGTTTAGCGAATCGGTCATTCATCGGATGTTGGGTCGGCAGTGTATCGTAACATAATGCTTGTAGTACGGTGACAGGATGCACTGACAGCAGCGTCCATACATGGACTGCATACTGGCAACATAATCATCAGCAACATCAAACAGCTCCCGTCAGCGCTGAGCCGTAAGCGAACCACACAGTACTTACTCTGCACTGAAGCCATTGACGTGAAGTATCCTCATCTGTTTGACGATAGTGCTTTTCCCCGATTCGCCAGCACCTGGAACAGAGACAGAGATGAGACACGGCAGCACCGGGAGAGAACTGTGACTACGATGAAGAAGCAGCGAATGTACAAAGTTCGTACCTTTCTCAGGGCTGACAATTGTTATGACTGGGTCCCGACCCTCGCAGATCAGGCTAAAACACCTCGAAGCCATCCCAAAATGTATTCCGACTTCAACCATCATCAAGAATTGAAGCATCAGGTTCAAGATAATTCCACATGGAATCCTGCATCCCCGCCCACTATTCCTTATCCTCGACTGCTTTTGGTGACCTTCCCCCTCCCCCGCAGGCGTCCGGGGGATCAGACCACGCCGATGCTGATAGGAGAGGAATCCGGTGACCAGGCGGCCACGTCAACACACGGGCGACTATCAACGCATACCGGAGAGGTTCACAAGAGCCGAGGAATGCTCTCGAACCCAGGCACACCCGGGTTTTCCGAGCGGTGGCCGGTGATGGACCCGCGAGCGCACCACTTCAGGTTGTGTTTTGTACATGAAGTCATGTTTTGTGCGTGGGCTCAAGGCTACAGGACACGAGTCGTATCACCCCGAGTACACCCGGTCGGATTATTTGATGGAATCGGTGCATGACACTCGTGAGGAATTGTCATGCAAGCCACAACCAACCGGAAACTCAAACCAAGCCACACAAGGGGGAATATCACACCGCAATACGGGAAATCCCTGAGCAATGCTACTCGGATATGTCGTGCGTACGCGATTATAACGAATGTGGTGACACGCACCATTTTTAGCGTTGGTGCAGGTTAACTGATGGATTCTGCCGATCTCTGACTGTTCCCCTACAAAAGTGTTGGCGCACTCCGCATTATCTGACCGCTGCACAGCTAGGGTGATCCCCATGTGGTCCATAACAGGGCTGTGACTGTTGCGCTGAGAGGGAGGGGTGACGTCGACACCTCGTCCGTTCGGACCCATCTCCGGGGAGCGTGCTCCGTCACTGTGACAACAAGGTCGTCCGGCCGCTCAGATACCTGTCTATCTGTCTCTCAATCGGCCTCCGTCTCAGAGACGGCACACAAAGCCATCACACGGATACGGGATAATCGCTGACGATTCGCCCACGTCCGGAGGCAGAGAGTCGGAGGAGAGTCATTCTCCTGTGCCGGAGTCGGAATCGCGATGTCAGAAATGTTTCGGCGCCGTGGCACTGATTCCGGCTCATCGATATCTCGGTCGTAAACGAATCGATACCGCTTGCGTCACGGCGCCGGCCCGGTCCGGGATGGTGGCGACCGCACGGTGCACAGGTCATGGCCCCGGAGGTGATCGGTCGTCGGGCGGTCCTGTCAATCACCCTCCGACCAGCGGACCCAGTCACCGGCGCTGCCGGCCGGCGGAGTCCCACATCCCAGCATCCTCCTGCAGCCAATCATGCTGCTGCAACGGCAAACCAGATAGCTTGTGGAGCTGCCCCACCTTTTCAGCTCCACAAATAGTTTACACAAGTCACCGAACAAGTCAGCCTTGCCTCCCCACGAAAAGGTCACTCGACACACATCTCAACGAAGATCTCAACCCTAAGCTGTCGACTTCGCTCAGAGCATCTGTCCGGTACGTGAAGCGCGGTGGGCGGAAAGCAACTCGGGCCACTGCTGATGGCAACGCAGTCCACCGTCGGTCTCCAGAGCGCAGTGATGGCCTGTCGGTCACAGCCAAGCCAAGCTGTGGACGCCCACCTCGCCCCACAGCAACACCACAAGACACGAGTCACTGCCGAGTGCCGGAACGGATTTTTATACCTGGGAGGATTGCAACTAAATGGACGATGGACAGATGGAGTTATGGTGCCACGGCGACCATGATAGGGAAAAATAAATACCTAAGCAAATAAAACCCACACATATCTCCCTATAGATCGTTGACCAGAATGGTGGTTTTCAGTCTGAAACCTTGAAAACCACTTATCAACTAACCTCTCAAAATTAAAATGCATGGCAAAGGAACAGATCGAAGACAGATACCAACGATAATCAACGAAGACGGGAGAACGACCTCAACAACGATATAGTGTTCCATCAGTTTTGCCACATGGATGGCCATTCAGACTGCATCCACTGCACCATCCAGCAAGGAAATCGGTGCAGCATTTCAAGTCTCTCCTTCGGTGCGCCAGTCTGCTAGCCTCTCCGGGACTGCGGCCGGCTGTTTCTCGGTACAAATCCCGCGTATTATGGGAGCGAGCTGACCGGCAAGGAGCGCTGGGTCACCATGGTGACCACAGGTGGTCAGTCAACAGACCCATCATTTCCCTCCCGGCGGCCGGCGGACCGCCGCTGCCCCGCACCCCGGCCTACCACAGGCGCGGCGGCTCGACAGGCGACTTTCTGACTCTCGGAGCCATAGAAGGCATCACCTAGTTCGGAGATACCTACCGCTGCAAACTCAAAGAAATGTCAGCTTGTAGCATATATAGTGAAACGGCACACTGCTCTCAAAGGGTTGGTTACAAGCAGATCATTCCATCTTTACAAGCGCTATTTGTAATGTTCGATTAAAAAGCCACACGTCTAAAATTCAGTTCGCAATCCATTGACCAGGGTTTCAGAATTATCTCAGCTTATGAGCTGGAACAAGCATCAGGACACATCCGACCATCCTGGACTTTCATGGAGCCCGACCTCACTATCGGTGAGCCGCGGGATAGGGCAATGGTCACTGGACAGTGAACAGTCACCACAGTGACGACCCCTCCTATGCTCCTCACCACACCCGCTGCCCTCAGTGCATCCTGTCGTGTGGCTCACCGTCGGCCGTCGGCCAGCCATTGATCCCCATCACAGCCGGAAGCCCGCGTCAAAAGGCACCCACTCAAGGCGCGCGCCGCGCTGCGGGGCCAGCGGCTGGGCGCCTAATGAGCTGCGTGAGGCGTGCTGTAGGCACGGACTGGCCGGCGGACACAGGTGGGTGGGGGGAGAGCGGGAGGGGGCAGAGGGACTGGAGGCAGCACCGGCAGCAACAGGGAGACACACGCAGACTGTGTGACCGGGAGCGGCGTCAGCAGCCGGAAAAGAACAGAAGCAGTCGCAGGTGCAGACGAGCGGGAGTAGTTAGAAGCGGAGGTATGAAGGGAGGCAGAGAAATAAAGAGAGGGAGGCAGGATTATGCTATCAGGAAAATGAGCGGTGGGTGCCTTCCCACTGAGAAAAGGTCATGTGGAGTGGAGATGTGACCAGGGGGTTCTTCATTGTAGGGCGCGCGGACTTCAGAGGTCATCGGCAGGCTCGGAGGGCTTGGTGAGCGAGAAGGGTGGTGCGCTCTAGTAGAATCGGGTCAGATAAGCTAGAGTGTGGACCGCTGACGACCGCACTAGCTTCCAGGCTAGGTGAGCAAAGGATTGGGGCTGAAAAACGAAACTTGCCGAGTTGCGAGCATCACCTTCCAACACTCGTCAGTCTTAACGTCTGCTCTCCGAGCACAGCCTGACCGTCCAAATTCCTGTCGCCGCGACTGGCCAGGGGGCTGCTGTCGCGCGGCCCCCGTGGGCGGGCGACAGCCGGATCCGCCGCCGGGAGGGCGGGGCGGGGCGGGTCCCGCAGAGGGGCCGTGGCGGTCACACCTGGCCACGGCCGGCCGGAGACGGAGCCGGAAGGCTGCCGGCCAGCTGCAGATTCTGTGGCCGGCAGCGGTCGGGCTGACATCAGCGCCGGCGCGCGCTCAGCTTCCCCAGAAGGCCCGCGGCCGTCCGCGAGCTGCCTCAATGCCGGACGCAAACCGGTTAGATGCCGCAGACAGACGGACGGACGGAGATGGCCTGACGGGGATGATCCGCCCGCTGCTGGGGATGACACTATCACGCGGACAGGGCAGGCGCACCACGAGACCAATCAGCCACATTCCTGTCCCGGCGAGGCTGCGCGCTGCCTCGAATGACACCGATCCACGACCAAGAACAGGAAGCAGGAACTACAGCACCTACGCACTGTACCAGCAGCACCTTGCACGTACACAAGTACTGGATCACAACTGACTTGTGCCGGCCACCTTTCTAATCGGTCTCCAACGGTGTGCCAAGTTTGAGCACAATCGACCGGGCCGTCGGCAGAAGTGGATCATTGGATGCGGCCTCTGTACACGTGAGCGTATAGTCTAGTAGCACCCAAACCGTGACACATAAAAATGCGTTGCCAGGTGGGTTCCCAGTCCAACCGATAGGCAAAATTTCAACGCTAACTCGGCTCCTAGGCTATGTAGCGACACGCGGTAAGCGGCAATCGGCATGCTAAAGAGTGTCAAAAATAATCAGTAAGATACATTGTCATATATTGGGTATGGTCAAAGGTCAGGTCGCCAGAGCTCATCAAACATCAAATTTTGCCTATTTCAACAATTTTCGAAAAACCGGCGCATGACTCGGAACCAATAGAGCTACGGCGCCGCAGAAAAAATCATTCGATAGCCCTTTTACCGCTCTTCCTAAAGTGTGTCCTCAGCTCAGGTCTGACCTAAGGTGAATGGTTTAGCTTCTAGAGCCCAGAGGGCAAAAACTGTCAAAACAGCTGTTTTTACGAAAAATATTTTTTTTCTGTTAAAAACTTTTGACACAAGAGAGTCACGACATAACTTTTGCCAGCATCGTGTTCCTCTTGTCGAGACGCGTCGAATGAACTATAATTTGACCTTGTTTTGAGAATTTGACCTCAGGTCAAGGTCATCCTGACCGGAAAAGGTCATGCTGCATATCAGTTGATCCGTATCGTCGAGCTGAACACATCTTCACCACTCTAGCATGTCTCTATCGAAAGTTACTGTTAACAAACTGCTGGGAACATTACATGACCTGATATGACCTCAGGGGCACAAAGAGGGGTCACGGGTGCAATTTTCCGATTTAATGTGTCACGTTTACCTACGAACCATGTATGCGAGTGTTTATAACGACGTTCGTCCAAAAGAGTAGCATTTCAATTTTCTACAATGGAATTGTACTAATAATGGAGAGGTCGCAAAATTGACCTAGCCTTATGTCACAAATATCCAAATTCCGGCATAAATTTCATACATAGGTACTGTTGCTCTTATCAATGGCTGAAAGCTTCAAAGCAATCGTTCAGCCGGTGCAGCTATAGCGAGCATTGGAACGTTTTCTGAGGTAAGGACACTTGACGTGATCTGGTGACCTGACCTTGAACGAGCCGGGTTTGGAACTTTCATAACCTGTGCAGAAAACAAATGTATGAACAGCTGTTCAATGAACAGCAGCGTTGCACGTCGCCGTTTTCGAGATATTCACGAAAAGCCTGAGGAGGCGACGTAACCCCCCCCCCCCCCCCCAGCACGACGCGGGCCACAACAAGAGAGCATAATAGGGAATCCTACACAAAATCAAGTGCGATCCGAGATCCTCCACTGACAAGTGCGAGACACTCTTCTACTAAGTCAATTCACAACGATGTGCAAAATCTGAGCACAATCGGCCCAGCTGTTCTTCGGATGTAGAAGCAGCACCATGTCGAGGGTGCTCAAAAACGTGATCACGGCGCTCCTCATAATTTTCCGCCAAATTACGAAAGACTTCGGTTCAAACCAGCTCGTAATACCTAATGATCCAATATCCAAATATCCCTATCAATATCCCTATCACTAGTAAGATGCCTTTTGGGACGACAAACCAGCGAGAGCGAGAGTGAGCTCTACACGTGCAGAAGTGCGAGAGGGTAACTCAGACTGACTTGTGCACTGTTCAATGTGCACGGCACCAGCCACCATAATAACCGGCCACTAACAGTGTATCAAATTTGAGCTCAATCTGTAGATGTAAATCGGCCGTATGTATAGATCAACAATTCATCAGATTTGCAGTGTGCACAGCACCCAAACCATGCGCCAAATTTGAGAGCGATCGACCCATCCGTCCTCGAAAACCAGAAGAGACCCTTCCATGTACGAGCGTGCAATGGGGGTCACCCACCCCATATGCATCAGGAACAGTCCAATACTTGGTAGACGGAATTAGCCAACCTTACAAAAAGGGTGCCTAGTCGACCGTCCCAGCGGCTGCTGAGATATAAGCCTTCCAAAAGCATCACCACGGCCGTTCGGCCGGCCAGCAGCTCATAATCGTTATCTCCCACTAATATACAGAATATTTTGCGAAGCACTCGCTCGTAGTGACCTCATAGCTCTTTCACAAGGAAGGCACTGCTCAAAGTGTATGTTATAGTAGTTCAATCTAACATTGTTCATGACCATTTCGATTTTCGGCCCAATGAGTTCCTAATGCATTCAAGGAACCCTTGAGTGTTACAATAAGAATAAAGTTTGAGCAGCCATATTAGGTAAGTTCAAAGTTGCACCATTTATCATGCAATTAAGTGTGTCTATAGTGAGCATTCGGTCACAGCATTAAACTGTGACACTCCACTCGTGTGATGTGGCGCAGTCTACCTCTCCAGGCAATTGATTGCCTGTAAAAAGTGGAACATCATTATGTAGTCAATGGATTAGTCAACTGATACATATCATCATATCATCCATACCTAAACATTACATATTCTTTCCATAGAATTCTTGAATTTGATCATGAAATAAATCAGTAAACATATTTGTCCTATTGTCCTAAGTGCAAACTATCACACACACAACTAGTGATGTCATTGTCAATCACAGAAAATTTCGATTTCGATACAAAACCAAATACCAACAAAATCATGGGAAAATACCCAAACTGAACCAGCTTGGGAATGTGACAGAAATACCAACCTTTTACCAAACTTACTAGGCATCTCTTTTACATATAATGGGGTTGCATAATTGATAATACTGACAAAAATACCAAAAACATTAGGATTGAAATACCAAATACTGAGTTGGTATCAGTTTGGTATAAGTATACCTAAAAGTTGGTAGGTAATCTCATTGACATCTCTACACACAACTGTCCCCCTGCAGTGCATTTAGCAGCCTTTAGGACATTCTGGAAATTTAGAAGAGGGCATGATGCATGTGCAGCCACAAACACAAAGTGAGAACACCAAACTGTATTGACAGATGTGGGTCCATTGACCTATACCTACAAGTATTTGAAAATATAGATAAAGCAAAATGTTTGGGACACAGAGGCACACAACTAGCAATGAGTCAGCATTATCTTATTACTATCCAAATGTTGGGGGTATTTTTGCAGCATCTGACCTGTCCAAACCTATTAGTAAAGTAATCTTGGTCCAGAGGTAAAGCAGTATGGACCCAGTTTGAAATGCAGGCACCCACCGGCCACCACAATAGGAATTATCTCATTACCTAAAACTGAAATTCTACACTTATCAAGGGTTTGTACAGCCCAAAACCCCTGATTCACCACCAATACATCCTGTTTGCTAACAGCACACATAATTATTGTTCCTGTTGTGCTGATGTTCAAGAAACTTTATGCTTTTTTACATGGCATGCACCCAAGCAATCTTTTTACACTTATTTGAACAGGTGGACTCAAATGATCCCCATGGAATATGGATCTACATATAAATAAGAGCTATGAACTGATTGATGTTGGGTTCTTCAAGGCATCTTAACCTTAAAATAAAAACCTTTCTCACAACTTTTATTACAAGACCTAAAAAATAACAATTTTTTAAATATTAGTATGTACAGATCAAGTCCATACAAATTGACGAGTTCATTGACAGCCACACATGAATCACTAGTTAAATTCATCACCTACTACTGTCACTTTCCCTGTCATACATGTCAATACAGGTCAAATCAATACATTCATTTTGATATAAATCTTTGCATTTTTTTTCAAAATGCCTCTGATTTGCACACAATAACAAATATGGATCGTGGTACTCAAATTTGGGTTGTCTCAGGAGCACCACATATGCCACAGATCATTAAAAACAATTATTCCTGGTTCTAATATTTAAGATTATGACTCAGTGGGGGAAACTGTGGTCAAATCTTCTATTTTTGGAAGCCTTCCATTTTTGGAAGGACCTTCCATAAATGGGTATGCATTTTCCAAAAATGGAAGGCTTCCAAAATTGGAAGGTCTAATCTCAGTGTTCCCAACTGTGATTCACATTCTTTGATTTAAGTTACGGCCTTTTTAAATGTGTAACATTAATAGTTGATTTTGCCATTTATGATCATTGATATAAGGAGAAGCAGCAGTGCTAGTGTTGGTAATACAGGCATGCTATGTCAGTGTACATAGTGATATAATAGCATGGTGTCCTGGCGCACTGCTCTCTTTTTCTACTTCTAGAGGACACATAGAAATTCAGAAGAGAAAACAGCTGGTCAATAACCAACCAGGAGGAACACAGCTATAGCCCTGACAAAAAATGGTTTAAATTAAACTTACTATTCCTCATATAAATTGAAGATTCATGCTCCTTCGATAGAAAGTAACACGAAAAACGGCGCAGCAACGCCTATTTAATTCGTCCCATATTCCGGAAAAAACATTGAAAAATGACGAGACCTCCACCCAAATGTTTGGCAAAAGCCTTAAAAAATTGAAATCAACCACACAATATGCTAATAAATGCAGAAAACGGCAACAAATACAAGTTTTACTCGCCACTACACTCCCGAAACCGCCGCACTCTGTCCAGACAATTCCGCACTGTAAATAAAGTCGGCGGTATCGAACAAGCATGGCCCGTCACTAAAGTACTTTTAAGGATATTTACTTTTCGTTTTTGATGCTTTTTGCTTACAAAATGTTTGATAAAGTCTTATAAAACCATCGTTTGTCGGTAAATTTTTGTCAATTTTCCACGACTCATTACTTTGAAAAATTACCTAAAATACATCCACGCTAGGATTTAGGCATCCACGCTAGATTATGGACACTTCACTATGGCGAATAGAAAGCGACCAGGGGCGATAGTCGCATTTGCCTCATGTTCGGCGGAAATCGGTAAGTTCCAACATATGCGCAACATTTTCTATATTTGGGTACGATGACGTCGTCAGCGTACCCATTTTTGGAAGGTGCGTACCCATATATAGAAAATCCTTCCAAAAATGGAAGGCTTTCTAAAAATGGAAGATTTGACCACAGTTTCCCCGACTGGACTGGAGCAGCTGTCAGAAAATAGAAAAAAACTATATTATATTTCATGTATTCTGATTGTTTGTAACTGTGTCATAAAAACATCAATAATTTGATCCATTCCATTATTGTTAGGGTCCATATCACCTAAATATTTCCAGGGAGTCTGTGTTCAAGGTCATTGAGAAAAGGGCATACATATTTACATCACATATTCTAAAATACTGTGATTTATTATCCCAATGGCTCACCTGAAATGCTCATTAAATAAACCAATAAATTTCACTGTCAGGTACAACCCAAAGTGAAACAAGCTGTGTCATTTCATTTTGTTTTGCTGGTCAAAAGATCACACACGTGAACAGTTCAAGTTGCAATAATGTGACCGTTGAACTGCTAGGCACTGAAGGCGCAATTGCTATGAAATGATAAGTAGGTGAATAAGTAACAAAATAAAAACAACTTACCTAACAACAACAAACGGTGTGTGGCTCGATACACCTGTTTGTCCTTCTGGATTTGCTGGTTTATCTTCTTATTCTTTTCCTTTTGCTTTTTGGATTCATCTGCATCTTGTTTTGATGCAGCGCTTCCAAAACAACCCATGTCATAGGGCCTGCAGTCCAGGCAAAGGTAGGCTAGGAAGCCTGGACGGGCTTCTTGCTGCCTGTTGTCTTTACAGCCTGGATTACCTATTTTGTCTGATTTAGGGTTTCCACAAACACAAATGCAGAAGGGGGGACATCTGCCCTCTATGTCACATTCCACCATCCCATGATGATGTCAACACACGCCATACAATTCGCAACCACCACCACCGCACCACAGAGAAAATATACGTCCACGGCGACACGGCCGCCGGACGCGAAGGGTGGGACTGGCAATGCATTCTGGGTAATGGTATCCCGTTTCAGGCCCAAATCGATGGCATGTTCCGGTTTTCCGTATAATGGAAGACATTTTATCCATTTTAGGACGGCAAATGTTTGTCATGGCACAAGTTTATCTTCTTCTCTCGACTAAAATGAATTTCTTCCCTCAAACGTTGACAGATTCAGTGCAAAACCCCATTTACGAACACATCCCATACCACCCTGCCATCTATGATATAAGGCATGTGGGGCGACATCTGTAAAAGCTATGATAGATGGCAGCAGTGAGCGGTACTGCCCGCAAAGTAGCCAGGCCAATGCATGTCGATCGCTTCCCCTCGCTGCAGAGTCCACCAATGTCGGCATGCCAGAAGGCAGAAGCTGGGGTCAGTGAGAGGAGGGAGGGGGGTCATTAGGGTCATACACCCTATGGCATATATAGGAATGAATTTTCATGAACTTCCAGGGTCCTTATCCTGGCTTAGTCAATTTTCACGAGGCTTGAGAAAACCACGACGTCTTTTTACGGCCCCCATACCGGCAGTTGAGCGCACCGTTCCGTCCTTTTCATCCTCAGGATGTTCAAATCCATCTCCTTCACGCCTCAAAGCTCTGCTTCGGACTGGAAGAACTTTATTCCATGCGGGAAGTGCCTGCAAAAAAGCAGTTGAGAGCTCCACGCGGGTCGCCGGGGCCTCACACAGGTCCCTTAGGCCTTAGCGTCCATATCGATCTCTAAAGGCTCTGTACTGGTCTCTGAGGGCGTCACATTATCCTCTGAGGACCCAAAATTCGTCTCAGGGACTCAGAGCGCCCTATATCGGGCTCAAAGTGCCCATATTATATGCTTGTATGCAGGGCTGCGGAGTCGGAGTCGGAGTCGGAGTCGGAGTCGGTCGGAGTCGACAGTTGTGACCGGAGTCGGAGTCGGAGTCGGAGTCGATTTTAGAAACCCGAGCCGGAGTCGGAGTCGGAGTCACCGAAAATCTGTCGACTCCGCAGCCCTGCTAGGTCTGCGGAGTCGGAGTCGGGAGTTGGAGTCGGTCGGAGTCGACAATTCTGCCCGGAGTCGGAGTCGGAGTCGGAGCTGGTTTTTGAAAGCCGGAGTCGGAGTCGGAGTCGGAGTCGCCGAAAATCCATCGACTCCGCAGCCCTGCTTGTATGTAACCTGTGCCTGCCAACATGGGGGGAGGGGGGGAGGGCCTTTCGGCCTCCTCGGATCTCGAAACCACGCATCAGAGCGACAAACGGTAAACGGCTTTTGATACTTTGTTCTAATATGAAATATCTACAACAGATACGAAAAGCATATTCGCATCAGGTCAATACTGAGGTCACCAGAGGGCATCAAAAATAAAATGTTTATGCATTAACCCACGCCCCGCTGGGCTATTCAGCCATACGCGCCCTGCTGGGAGGGGGGGGGGGGGGGGGCAGATCCTGCCCCCCCCCGTCTACCTTTCGAACCGATGGTCGTAGAAAGACGGGGAAAACGGCAATTGAAAGCTCTCATCAATGCTGATCTTAAGAGCCCGAAGCTTTTTGCTAAAGTAGGTCAGAGGTTAGGTCAAGGTCAGGTCAAGGGTACAAAATGCAAGTTTCTACAGTATCGGCCTTGCACGGTAGTTGCCGAAGAATGGACTGAGACTGCATGCCCAAAACGCGTTCTTAGGCTACCAAGACAATATTCGTCGCATACAGCATCATTCAAAGGCCAAGGTCAGGTCAGGTCAGGTCACCAAAAACAAAATATAGAAAAGGGCATGTGCGACACATGTTTTATGAGTCATTTTATTCATAGAATTCAATAAGCACACTCACTAAGTGATATGGACCACCTCTGGATGAATTTCAGGTCGAGGTCAGGTCAAGGTCAGGTCAAGTTTATTGAGGTCAAATTTTGAAATTGGTTGTTAAGGCCTAAAAAGGTGTCTATCTGATGCAGTTTTTCACGGCAAATAAAATGGTGCTATTTTTGTTTCCGTACGAGGTAAAGAAACTTCCTTTCTTATTCCTTATTCCTTTTTTTGATACACTAAAAATTTTGGATTTTATAATTATTTCCCAAAAAAGTCAATTTTTTTAAGAAAACAAAATTGGACCAAAATCCAAAAGTTAAAAAAAACGAGATGGCTATTTGAAAGACAAAGTAGAATCACGTATAACCTTTTTGTTACGTCTTGATTCCTTTAAAAATGAAGATGTTAGCGGCGTTTGAAATTTGGCCGTTTTTGAGGCGAAAATGGCGAACATGACGTCACTAAAACGTCATTTTTCTCAGAAATTTTCCGACGGATTTCGCTGAAATTTTCAGGCAACGTCTTAACTTGATATATGATAAGGTACTGAAAGTTTGAAGTCGCTGGCGTAACGCGTTTAGAAGTTATTGGCGAAAAACGGGAGGGGGGGGCAGATTCTGCCCCCCCCCAGCGGGGCGCGGGTTAACATTTCGCTTTAGAATATATCTTTCGAAAAAAGAAAAATTTAAACCTCAACGGCCGTGGGGGGCGGGTGCCGCCCCCCCCCCATAGGGTTTTTTTTTCGCGATAGCTCCGAACAAGCTGGCGATAGAGAGCTGAAACTTGGCATACCTACCTGACCTTTTATTCAAGCCGGATCTTTTAAAACCAACCGCATTTTCGGGTCACGTCAGGTAAGTGACCTATGACGTCATAGATAGACCTCTGCACGGTCTTCAGATGTCGCAACTTCGCAACGCCCTCACTGCCAGAGGAGCTTTCACAGGGAAATGAAACTTGCAGGATCTAATATCCATGTCGAATTTTACAACTTGTTTATCTCGGATTTTTCCGAAAGGTCATATGAGGTCAGGTCATTTTCGTGACCTTACCATTATAAGTCAATGGGGAAAAAATGAAAACTGCTATTTTGGCGCCGGGAACGATCTCCCACTATCCCGAGCACACATAATCGTGATTTGATGCACTCCTCGCAAGGTTAGGTACATGTGTCGGCACTTTTGAAATGTTGACCCTGCGTGACGTCATTTATGACGTCATTAGGGTCATATTATAATTTCGTCATTTAACTCCCGATCAAATTGAACTAGCGAGTCAGGAAAGCCACCGATGGACTCAGGAAGACCCGACGAATCGAATGATATGCGACATGACCTCTTTCGACCAACTTCGTGACCTGGGGGCGCTGACCTGACCGTGACCTGAGGTCAACACCCTAAGCTGACCTCACCCAAGCAAAAAGTAGATCATTCGACGCGCCTGAGCGAGGCGAACACGATGCTTCCAAAATCACGGCACTGCGGCCGTTTTTTTTTTGCGAAGCTATTCACCAAAAACGGAACCTTACCATAGGGCACTTGACTTGAGCTTAGAGGCTACCGGCTGACCTAGGACCTTAAAATCAGGTATCAATCTCTGCGTCTCGTAACGGCGCACACGCTCGTTTTTTCCGCGACGCGCTAGCTCCACCAGGGGCGAGACGGCGAGGGGGGTCGTACCCGCCCCCCCCCCCCGGCCGGCGCGTATGTAGAAAACCAATAGGTCCGGCGAGGGGACATAAAATTGGCACCATGAAGTCTGTCTCTCGTCCGGATCTCTTTCCCACGCCCCGTAGGGGGAGGGGTAAAACGACCCCCCTGTCCTTTTCCGTAGATATCTCCTAAATGACTACAGATATCGTCACCAAGCTTTCAGCATCCCTTTGGGCATCACTTTTACGCATTGTGACCAAAAATTTTTGCCATAGGTTATGGTAGTTTGGCCACAAATGACGTCAGAATGACGTCATGTTCTGCCATTTTCGAACAAAAAAAAGTTTTGATCAATTTTTTTTTAAGAAAAAACGTAAAAAATCCCAAAATTGTTCCGAATTTCGAAAAATGGAAATATGTGATAGTCCCTGCGCTCTTCTATATTCATACCGAATTTTAGATCGATACCTCTTTTTTTGGCCAAGTTATAGTGAAAAACTGTTCAAAATTGATGACGTCAAATTTTGGAACTCAATTTTTAGCAATTCTAGACCACGTAGCGCGAAACAAAGACCACCACTGAACTCCCCGTGACGAGCTGCATCGAATCAATACCCATTTTATGCACAAATATCAACTTTGAAATTTGACCTTTTTTGATCCGACCTTGACCTGACCTTTACCCGTAGGCGGCGGAACGGGGAGGGCACCGGGGCACCGTGTCCCCCTTTGATTTAGGCATTTTTACATTAGCTCTATGGGCGTAGCATGGAAAGAATGGGACCAAAAGTCGGCAGTGCCCCCCCCCCCTTAATTGAAGGTGTTCCGCCGCTACTGCCTTGACCTGACCTTCACCAGAACATAATCTTAACTGATCCTAAAGGCTGCCTGACCCACATAATCGTATTTGGCATATAAAATGGACCATAAAACATGCATCATATGGTATTTTCATATTGTGACCCTCAGTGACCTGACTTCTGTGACCTGACCTGGTATCAGTGACATCAAATAGCAAAATATGTGTTTGACGAACATTTCCCCATCGATGATTTTCAATGAAATGCGTTTTACTTGATTTTACAACGCATTTCTTGAAATGCCTGTAAACGGTGAAAATTCGACCTTTGACCTGACCTGTGACATCATCGGTTTGACCTAGGCCAATGAAATTGGGTCACAAGGTAGTTCGTTTCCTGATGGGGCTATCCAACACCGTTTGCCGCTTGTCGCTATGTTGCGTGGTTCTCGAGATCTTAGGGGGAGGCAAATTCCCCCCCCCCCCCAGCAGGGCATGCGTTGCTCAGCAGACCCCAACGGGGCGCGGGCTATGCACCGCTTTGCTAAAAAGTAAAATTTTTAAAAGTAAAATTGGCAAAATTTACATTGATGATCTCTGGTAACCTGACCTTTGAACTGATCTAAAAATGATCAATTAATTGCTTCATTATTTTTGACGCTCTTTCGAATGCCGCTTACCGCGTGTCGCTACGTGGCTCAGGAGCCGAGTTAGACAGGGTACATACCTGGCACCGGCTGGTCAAAATGTTCCACATTT